CGACAAGACCGTCAAGATCTGGGATGCGAGCAGCGGCGCGTGCCTGCAGACGCTCGAGGGCCATAGCCACTCGATCAGCTCAGTGGCCTTCTCACACGACTCGGCGAGGCTGGCGTCGGCGTCGCACGACAAGACCGTCAAGATCTGGGATGCGAGCAGCGGCGCGTGCCTGCAGACACTTGAGGGCTATAGCAGCAGCGTCAGCTCAGCCGATCTCGTCTCTATTCTTGCATCGCTACATTTTGACAATGTGACAAAACCCTACCAATCTGTCCGTCAACGAATAGCGGTTAGCTCAGATGCTACCTGGATCTCTTGTGATAGTCAGAACGTGCTGTGGCTCCCAACAGAATATCGACCATACTGCTCAGCTATGTCGAATACATGTGTTGGTCTAGGTACACGGTCTGGAAAGTTTTGGATATGTTATTTTACGTGATAATATATTCGAAGGCTTTACATGTTCTTCTCCTATATTATTTTTCTAAATCGTCATTTGTAGAGGGCCGGAGAAGCACATGTATATATATACATGGTAGTTCTTTGCCGCATCGAAGCTTCGTGAATCCAACGAGAGCGACATAGCCACTAGATGCTTATGATTTTAGAGGGAAGCTTCTAGAAGGATACGCTACACCTTGGGCTGCGTATAGCGTGGTGCACAATGCAGGCCGCCTACTACGTAAGCGCCCAAAGTACTCTTGTGTTAAATCCAGAAGGGTAGCTAGTCCTAAAGGGTTAGGGTTGGTTCTCGGGCAAGACAACTGAGGGGAAGGGAAGGGGTCTTGTTGATATGATAGTATCTTGCGAAGTGTAACGAGTCAACAGTATGGCCTAAGTGTAATCCAAACGATAGATTGATAAACAGGTTGAACACGAGTATGAGAGTTCATGCTCGCGATCCTATATACTGAATCTGATCAGTTACCTGATCACCCTGATCGAGGTGATCAAGTCGTGCTCAGTGATCAGTATGCGAGTTGCTCAGCATGATCAGTGGGCTTGGCACACTGATCACTCTGATCAAGTCACGTGACCTTGTGTCGTACTCGCGACACTGGTCGAACTCCTCATTACATGTGTGGTTCAGATGACCGTTCGTCTCGGATCCTAACATCTTGTCGAAACGCATAAGCTTGCCTTGCTTTACGGACAAATCCGGAGCATATGTTGACAAGGACTACACAGCATGAACTCTTATACGCTGTAATTTAGTGTAGCTGGCTATGCTTTAGGGCCCCCGAAGCGACACTAAATGCAGTTACCTGCAATAGAGCAAGGGTGTCTTACTGTTGGAGCTTCTAGTGCCACCAACATAACGACTGAAAGTCTAATTTCAACACTGTAATTTTTGTTGTTGAAGCCTAGCAGCTGGTAGGGTCGCATTTAAAGTATGTCAGCTATGCAGCTAAAAGATTATAGCAGGGCGTGACTGAGAGTCGCGGCGCGTGAAGGATGTTCACGTTTCTGCGCGGTGGGATGTTCGACCTACAGGGATAGACGTTACTCTACTTGTAGTAGTACACAGTCCTGGTACGACACAACTTCTTTGTATTCTGTAGAAAGAAAATCCAAGCTCGTGCTCGTGACCTACTTGATGTGCGCTAGTTTCATGCAGGCCCTAGCATGTTACTCTTTGTCATTCTAGTCGAAGGATGGGAGATGGCCACGAACACATCACAATATTGGCCACAGTGAATACCACCATCCCTTTGTAAGTCATTGGTCCGGTAGAAGGTTTAAAATCAAAGTAAACTGCTCGCTCCTCACAAAGTGACACGTTATTATACTATTCCTTTCAAGGAAGGCCATTAGCGCAACGTCAGTAATGAACGCGGTCGCACTTTTCAAATCGCATAGACTGAACGGCCGCCCGCCATCGCAGCGAGGATCACCTCCCTGATAGTGCACGCAGAGACCTCCCGTACAGGAAGGACCTGCGACAAGCCCCTGGTTCCACGAGAGATCCCTCTGTGCCGCCGCCGTTGCACTGGGAAGGTGGTCCAACAAATAACGCTCTGAACATCGAAGCACGTACATGTCTTTCAGATTTTGCCGCACCGGTAGCAGAACTTGTGCTTGCAGTGGCAGCTACGGTTCCGTCAGCAAGCGTCATGAACAAAGGCGAAGCGACCTACGTGATGTGCATACAACCTGACCTGAGCAAGATCATTATATTGCATTGAGGACAAGGTCGTCATATACAGCTGGCGGCGGTTTGGATGAAGAGTTGCACGTATGGGTCGCTATCGCAGAGTCCGGGATGCTCTGCATGCAACACATGTTTTGGCGTCGCAACATGGATATACGGCTGTGTCCCGGATGGTGTCCTCAAGGCCGACGTAGCTTGTGCATTGGGAGCAGTCTGTTAAGTTTGGGTCTGACAACCGGTTGACCTTGAGTTCAGAAAAATAGAGTTTGCTCGCCGGGAGGAGCGACCGGCGCAGCTCAAGGTTTATGGTCCCTTGGCAACATCGAGGAGGAAAGAGGGAGGTATTTCTTGTGAAGTGCGATCCTTACAAAAGTGATGAGCCACGACTGGAAGACCACGTGCGCGCACTCCATGGTAATGGTGTTCTTGGCCTGAAGCGTGAAGTCAGCGGTGCTGTGCAGATGAATTAAAACTCGTGAAAGTAGGCACCGGAGAACCCAATTGGGGATAAAACGGTGTACTGAGAGTGTGTGCTTTGACTTACTGGGACATCATTGGAGTAGGAGTAGCACTCCGCGAGTTTCAGGTCACCATCCACTTGCTCCATCGCACAGAGGTCACCGCTCCAGTCACAGGTTTTTCTGCCGTCCACAAAGGCAGCAAATTAGTTTCAATGTGTATCACAAGTTGGGCTTTATTTGGGCCTCTTCTCACCGGCCCTGTTCAGATGTGAAAAGAAAACACATTCGCAAGATATGATGCACTGACCAGCCCGCGTAGCAATGTGGGCACTCAAGATAGGGGAGCGGAGGTGCGAGGCTTATGTTTGGCCCTTTCCGCAATGAATCATTGAAGTACTCCTGCCAAGCCCTAGGTACCAAGAGGGAGGTCTGAATATTTTCGTTTCTCCTGTTGTCATCATTAAATCCATACTTCCCGCGCCAAGGATATGAAAAGTGAGGACAGCTGCCCTGAGGTTCTACATTTCCAGGGAGAGCATGCATCGGGCTCAGGGTCCAGGAGTGATGTATCCATGATCGATTGGCGCCTGTTGTAGACAATTGCGGCTCAGGGTTAGCGCGAACACTTCAGAGGCCGTTGGTAGGTTTTGAAATCGTGTAAGTCAGCGTGGCCTGAGTTGTTATAGGGTGACCCCGCGTTGTGGTTTGGCAACCGCTAACCCGCCGCTGCGCCAATGTCTAGGACCACAAGAAGATCAACACAGGGTGGATCACGTTTTCCAACTATATCCTGGCCTGTGATCATGGGAATACCTTTCAAACGCTAAGTACAGAGCTAGATCTACCCGCTCGACAGACATATCTTCATAGCAGTTCACCTTCCACCAATTCAATCGCCGTACCCGGATGTTTACATCGAGTTACCGTATGCGTAAATAAAGGGACACAAAGTCTCAATCGGGTAAGAAGGCACGATCTCATCAGCGAGCTATCAGGCCCCGATACTTCATTCAGCTGAGACTGACAATTGTCTTTGGTGAGTTCACGTTCCATTCTTCCACGTCATTATTTGTCTATACTACATACAACCACTGCACCAGTCTCAGATGCTAAAGCTTTGAGCCTGAGACAACCATCTCCTGTCAGTCACATTGATCTTAAATTGTTTGTGCACGCGCCAGTGCTTTCGTGAGGCTAGACCAAAACACAATCTCCATTCCCGCCAGACATCCACCATACCACATCTTTCTCAAACCAATTCACCAGCTCACCGCCACCCCAGTTATTCCTCAAGCAGTCGCCACCGGCAGCCAACTCAATGAAAAACAATACGCCCCAGGTGCGCGCACCAACTCGCTCCTGATCAACCCCGCTTGGCCCCTCCCGCCTGGACAGCCGTACCCCTCAAGGGAGCCGCCACTGAAGGACAGTACGTTCAGTTTCGCGCTGGCCGGGAAAACGAGTACCGAACATTTGCCTTTGCAGGCGCCCCCTACCATCCCCCGGGTGGGTCTTTCAGCCCCGCAGGACCTGTGCCCCATCACCGAGTTCAAGCACTGTGTTTACCACATCTCACCTACGGCGTCCGGTGTTCTGTCCTGGTGGTGGTCGCCGCGCTTGGGGAAGCATCCGAAGGTCGACGAGGACCTACCTGCTCGTGCCGCGCGCGGAAACGCACCGGGATGTCTGCGTGGGACATCCGGCTACCGGGTTTACTGACGCGGACTCGGTGTGTTCGGAGGGAAGCTCATGACTTTGAGATCGCTCTTGGAAAAAACCCTGTGACGAAGTCAGTCAACCGCAAACAAACAAGCTGCTGTGAGACTCACGTGAGCGCCACCGCCGTGGTCATTTCGAACGCGTCTGGCCTGCCCTCTTGGCTAAGTCCAAGGTAGTCCCGAAGGATAGCCATATAGACACAGGTCTCGATACCATCAACTTTCGACGTCGCAAAGTCACACCCGGTGTGCGGCGCCGCAGCATAAGATACTGAGTACGGGACTCACCGATGGCTCGTCGCTGACTGGATCGAAGGCTCGGCCAGTGTCGTGCGGACGCATTGCCGCAGAGGACCCCCACTATCCACCGGTGGTGCACAGAAGTGCAGCTGAGGCGTTGTTTTCAAACCCGATCCTTTCTTCGAAGTTCGCCAGGAAGGGGAAAAAGGCGATTTTTGTGCTTTAACGTTATGGCGAACGGACCGCACTCGTGTGTTTGAGAGAGAGACACCGGGGGGTGGCACGCTGTCAGAGACGCGAGGTGTTGGTGGAGAGAAACGAAAGCGACAGTGGCAGGTGAGAGACTTTGTACGCGTCCGTTTGCCGTTTGCTCCGCACAGACCACCGTGGAGTAGGGCGATGGAGCGACGGCCGAGTTTGGTTGCCCAGGTGAAGGTGACGGAGAAGGTGGGGAGCTGCCGTCACTACATGCGCCTGTGTCGATGCAACCCAATGCCTAAGAAAACCGGCCAGGGCGAACAGCAGCTGCTCGCAATAGCTCAATAATGTCCAGACTCGACTCGGTCATTTACACTGTAAAAGATAGTCCCCTAGCGTGAGGAATAGCGATGCCCAAACCAATACATACGAATACAAACAGCCAAAATCTCCAACGAACGCAGTTTCGCTTAGTAATACCTACCTACTTAACTCATACGAGGTTAGAAAGTGCTTAAGCGATGGAGAGTTGCGCAATGTTACGCAAATAAATAGATGAAGATCTTAAATCCACCCATCGCGCTCTCTCTCATCCTTTCCCCCAGCACTCCCTTTGAACCACCCAACTCCTGCATTTGCCACGCCCTTCCACCGTTCCACACTACGTTTCTTCGTAAACCTGTACTGTCTTTCACGGCTGCGCTCCAGACGCTGCTTGAACGGTGTCTCGCCCGAAGGACCCAGCCCTCTAAGCTCCATGTCCTCTCGCACTTCCGCTTCGCGGAAGCCCAGCGCAGAGCGGTTGCCTCTCCTTGAGCTCGTCGAATTACCCCTCAGAATGATGTTTGCTCTCGAGCCAAGCGTCTCGTTCGATCGGACTTTTCTGAGACGGCTTTGTAGATCTGCCACGTCGCCTTCGGCCAGTATCTTTCCTTTTCGATTGCTCGGTGGCGTATGGTAATCAAAATTCGAGTTCACTCTTCGAAGGCTGTATTTACGAGGGCTTTGGTCGAGGATCTTACCCAGGTCCTGGATTTCTTCGGCTTGTGCGCGCATTCGATCGAGCGACTGCATGCGTGGAGCAGCAAAAGCGCGACCTTGAACAGAGCGCGACGAACGGCGACCCAGGCGGGTTGGAGAATGGCCACGTTGATAGGTGCGTGCAGTACGCTTTTCTTCAATGGCGGCGGCAACCTGGGCCACCGAGTTGGGTACGACATCAAGAGAATTCTGTGGGGAGCGTGAGTTGATGTCCTGACGTGGCAGAATTGCACGAGTGGAATGATTGGAATTGCGAGCATACCATATGAATGAGTACGATGGGTATCTGGACCGTCACGAGCTTTCTACGTCATGTTAGGCTCATTCATTGAACCCACATGGGCGGTGCAGGACAACACACGTGTGAGATGTTCCCACTATGACATTGAGGAAGTAGCGAACCTCGAAGTACTTCCCTGCTTCTGTTAACTTCTCTTATGGATTGCGATCGTTGTACATACCACACTTGACTGTGGCGTGTCCGCGCGGAACCTCTATATCACATGTGCGGACATGCGAGGTATGGGCAGGAACTCCGTGCCACCCAGCAGCACCTTGCTTGGTGATGGCTTTGCTGAGAATAGACTTTTCGTTGCTGTCAAAAATACGAGCCTGGCTTGCTGACTTCTCCATCGTAGACGCGGCTGCCTGTCATTACATCATGTCAGACAAGCAGCTCCATCTGTATTCATCTCGCAACAAACATGTTTGTAACAGAGGATATCTCGCTCCAAATGCAACTCTATCTTCTTGATTGTCTTTCGGCTATTATTGGCGACGTGTACGTCGACATATATGCTGGTTCCGCTGACCCATACTTGTCGGTGTAAGCCAGCTGTCAACCGAACAATCTCAAGCGCGGTATCGCGAGGCTTCATCCACTCATCGGACGCGGTGAGAGGGCTTGGGAGAGACATGAGAGCCTTCTCAGCTGGAGCATTGTCAGAAAGTCCATGTATGGCAGTGTGTCACTTACGATCGTAGACGGACAGTACCGGTACATCGTCCGACACCCTTACTATGTATTGCTTTCCTTGGTCACGAATGAGCAGGGAGACGCAGAGGATGTATCGAATTCGAGCAGTTTTGGACTGAAAAGGCGGTGGACCGACGTTGAGCGGTAGGCTCATCGAGAATGGTAGATTGGTAATAGAGGGCATCAAATGCCAGAATGGGTCATCTCGTCCGATCTGTCCCTGGCTGTCCACCATGTTCTGTGGTGGTGGGTAGTCCTCATCAATGAGTTCCGTAGCCAGATTAAGAAATACGGATCGTCTGTTTCCACTCATTTCCTCAAGCCCAATTAGGTCAATGGATATTCGTGCAATGGCTAGTGTCTTTTTATGACGTGTTCGGTCGGCATCGTCTACGTTGATCTGGACAGTACCATCGATCGAGCCCCCTCCAACGAAGAGGCTTGCTGAGAGATCTAGTCCTAGATGTACGCGCGGATGTCGGTGTGAGGGATACTCTAGGAGCTCGGCGGAAAGCGGTTCACGTATGAATGTCCTAGACGGCGGGCGTCGACAAGTGTCATGTGCGACAGGGGCTGCAACGTTGCGAAGAGGTGATTGTGAATGCCCATGTCGAGGTATGGTATTACCGACGCCGTGAGGAGGAGGTGGAGGTATTGTAGGGACGTTGTTGAGGGATGGTACAGGAACGCGTAGCGGAATCAGCGATGAGCTTGGTAGAGGTATCCGATTTCTCGACGCACTACGCGCTCTTATCCTGGAGGATGATCGAGGCGGAATGCTGCCAGGTGGAATGCTATATATGCTGGAAATGCTTAGATCTGCCGGCGATGGTGTTCTACTGTAGTTACGGTTTAGCATGCGTAGGATGTATCGAGGGCGCCATAGTGACTTACGAAGCCTCTCCAGATCGCCCTCGGTGCGCTGATCTAACACCGTTGCTGTCGATGCTTGGTTTTCCGTCAGGCTCTCTGTTCTCTGCAAGTCTTGTGTCGAGGCTAGGCCGCCTCGATGCAACAGACGGTTTTCGCGTCAATTCATTTCGTGATGCGCTTCGCGGGAGATGCTTGTCGGAAAGAAGCCTCCCTGGTATAGAATCGGCCAGGCTTGGCTCAGTAAGTTCGCGAATGTCTGACAATGGGCGCGTCCTTGCCCAAGACGTGATGTTGCTCGAATGGCCCCTAGATTCCCCGCTGCTGCCGCCCACCATGTCTTTGCTGACGGGTCCCTCTGATCCGGATGGTGTTACGTGTACAGAGCCGCTTGCTCGCTCCAGTGAAAGACGAGCCTCGAGTGGAGGACCTTTGCCTGGAGGTGACTCCGGGTGACCTGATCCCTTCAGCACCCGGCCCGCGAACTCGGACAAGGCCAATGTCATACCGTCAGCTGCAGCGATGCGTATGGAATCGAATCCGCCTGAGAACAACTTCACGGATATAGACCGAGCGCAGGCGCAAGGCGTAGCGATTAGATGCTGACCAGATGATTTCTGTTTGTGCGGGATCCGATGCTGCTGGGAACAGGAAGAAAGTCATGTGAGACTATGTCGATGCTCGATATCCAAGGTGTTGTTTGAAGGTCGCATGCCGTCGGCGCAATGCTTGCGGTGTACATGGTGTTGAGGCTGCTGCATGCGTCATGGTAAGATCGAGGAAGGTATGTTCCTACCGAGGAGTACGCTGTAGACGGAAAGAGTAAGACTTGGAGAAGTGACGAACGACGAAGTTCACACGAAGGATTGCATTGATCATTTCTACAGCACAATCCCAGCACCACTTGCAATATTCTGTGAACACCGTCACATTATGGCCAGGTATAGACCTTACCTGACGTGAGAACTACAATTCGTCCAAAAGACGTCCGGGTGCAATTGCCTCGTCGCAGCTCTACGATCAACACCCTTGTGGAGATTGACTCGCTGCGTGCGTTGTTAACTTTGGTCGAAGTCGGACCGAACTGGACCCCAAGTCACGATGCTCCAAACCTTGGCGGTTCGGAGTAAATTTGGGGAGCAACGTGACCTGCGAAGCGATCCCTATATAGTTAACCAAGCGCAGACGGTGCAGAAGTCGGAACAGTGGATCCGCCAGCCTTCGTTGGCATGTTCTGGAACGGCTCTAGGCTTGGATCCGTGAGTGCGCAGGTGACATGTACCAAGTGCGTGTCGACTGCTCCTTCGTCTGCGATGGGAGCGAGCGGTGAGGTATGCCAGCGACATCGCGGAGTCCTTACGGTGCAACTGTGCTCCAGGTCCTAATGCGAGACTCAGTGCAAGTTGCACCATGCGGCGCATCCGAGGGTTCCCCGGATTGCCTGATCCGAACCAGAAGAGCGTGACCTGGCCAGGTGGACAGGCCAAGGCTGTCGTCGGGGCGTGAAGCGCGTGTAGCCCCACCCAAGCGTCGGTCGAAAAGGTCGAGGAAAGAGACCGTCGTCGGTCTCGCAACTGCGCCCACCAGAGCGTGTTTTGTTCCCCATGGGCCACGTCCATCTCTTGGACAGTCTTATGCGCCGTCTGTTATCAGATCAAGATTCGAGCTCGCGTCCCTGCAGGCGTCAGCCTCACCGCGAGAGGCCAGTGACCTCATGGCGCTAGGGCACGATGCATACGTCTCACGGCGCGTGTTCGCTGCTGTGTTGCCGGTCGGTCGCTGGCCGCCGCCGGGTTGCTTTTTCGGAGTGCGTGGTCGCCAGGTCGTGTTGGGTGCTCCATAGCCACCGTTTTCGTGTGCGGAAAGTTGGCAGACGGTCGCGCGGGAAGTGACGAGTGCAGCCATCCAACTCCGAGCCCGCGCGCGCTGGCAGTCGCGCTGTTAAGAGCATCGAGGACGCCGTTGGCAGCGCTCCGCCAAGGGCCTTGTCCATGGAGATGCCGGAGATGCACGACAAAGGCTCTGTGGCGCCGCTGCGCGGATTGCGCACCTTTCCGCTCGCAGTGAAGCGATCCCGTTAGCGTGCGTGAGCACCGATGGGCCTGCAGCTCGCCTCGGCGCGTCCACTGGTGCGCGCCCCGCCATGGTGTGCGGCGCTCACTCACGCCCGCTCGACGGCTGCGAAGAGTTTTCGTCGCGGGGGCACATTGCACATTGCATTACTGGCACGGGCAGCCTCTCCGCACACCCAGCCAGCCTGCCATTCGCACAGCAGCCTGCACCGCAGACGCGTCCGCCAGCCAGCAGCCAGCAGCTCTCGCTCGTGCTATCGATAGCCCGTGACGCAGGCCCTGCGCCGGCCCCTTTGAATCGCTGTTCTCCCGCCTCCGCTGGACGTTTGTTTCCTTTACATAAAGTCTTACCTCACAGCTTCTGCGCGCGACCACCCACAGCCTCCGTAGCAGCCCTCTTATCAGTCATTATCAACAGCTTCCACACACACACACGTGCAAACCGCCGACCCGCCGCTGCGGCTGTCCATACCGCGCGCTTAGCCGTCCAGAGCTCTCCCCGGCCATCTCGTCGTCCCTCAGCCTGTCGCGTCACGCTGCGCTTGGCGTCTGTGCCCCTCCCTATCGTCCGGAGGGGCACGCTGCCCGCAGATGGGTGATAGTCTCGTAACAGATATGACGGCCCCAGTGGGCAAGCAGGAGGCTGAGCGGGATGGCTCGACCTCCTCCATTGCCTCGTCGCCTGAGCCCGAGCCCGCTGCATATACCCAGGACAACCCGCAGCAGCAGCAGAAGCGCAAAGGCGGGCGCAAGCCTGTGAGCTACCCACCGTGCCTGGCGCACAGCACGTCGCCATGTCCAAGTCCACGCTAACCCGCCGCAAGATATATGCGACCTCCGAGGAGCGCAAGCAGCGCAACCGTCAGGCCCAGGCTGCCTTCCGCGAGCGGCGCACCGAGTACATCAAGCAACTCGAAAGCACTATCAAGCACCACGAGGAAACGCTGCAGAACCTGCAGCAAAGCCACCGCAGCGCCGCCGACGAGTGTTTGATGCTCCGGTACAAGAACTCGCTGCTAGAAAGGATCTTGCTTGAGAAAGGTACTCACACTTGCAGACTGCTGCCCCTGGCCATTGGTTTGACAACACACAGGTATTGACGTGCAGGCTGAGCTCCAAGCAAAGACAGGCAGTCCCAACCTGGGTCCCACGCGCCAAAATGCGCCTACGACCGCTTCACCAAATCAGCCTCCGCTACAGCAGCGTGCAATGTTGAACAGACAGCAGCAAAACCGCCGATCAATGGGAGGGCTGCCTAAGGCTGAAGGTGTGCCTGGTCTACCCATGATTCAACCTGACGGAGCAATCCCAAATCGTTCACCACTGTCGCAGCCTACTCCCGGATCGCATCTTCCCTCGCCCGTCGCGTCAGCTACGCGCTCGCCGAACTTTGTTGCCCACGGCACATCGGTGTCTCCCAACTTCGGGTCCATTCCTCCACAACAACAACCTCAGCGGCACCAGCAATTGCAGCCGCAGCCGCCTAGATCTCAGTTTACTCCCATAATGGGCCCACAGCGGCCATCCGTCATCACAAATCAACCATCATCGAACGGTCTATCGAGCGCATCCACGGGCAGCGGAGCGAGTGTAATGACCCAGAGTAGCACCGCTGGCGGTACACAGGCATACTTCCCGACTCCATATTCTGAGCACATGACCCAACTAGAGCAAGAGTACGACGAGCAGAATGATATGCTCGACCAGGAAGACCCTAGCGACCACTCCGCCGGGCCTGGTCCGTACCCAAATCCTTTCCAGTCGAACGCGATGCAATCGCAAAACATGCAGCCTCCAATGCCACCTGCCCAAAACCCGCCATATACGAACAACGGCCCAGTAGCGGCCAACGAAGCAAACCATGCGTTCAACGGGATGAACCATCTCTTCGACCCTTACGATCCAATGCTAGATGCGGATCCATTTGGACTGTCCGCCAGCATGCACTTTCCGACGATGTACGAATCGAGATGAGGAACAGTATCATGGCCTACGTGATCAATGATCAGTATACATAATATACCAAAGGGCGGCTTCTGAACTGCTGTTCTCGGATGGTACGAAGACATTACGAGAATATGCTTACATTTTTGTGACTTTGCGCGAATTGCTTTTGTCGTTACAAGCGGGCGTCAGAGGGTCATACATGGTCGAGGATTCGACCACGGCGTTTGTTGTCCAAGGCAAGGATTACCCCACGAATGCCATTGACTCTATTTGTTTTCTTCGGGATGGGCGGCATTATTAAAAGTCTATGTTTGGGAAGTCATTTTTAGCTACTGGGGGGTTGGAGCTAGGTGGGTTATTGCTACGGAATGTGACTTGGACAGTCACGGTTTCACTGCTCCATATTAACGGCCACAGCATGGGTCTACTCGGTCCAGAGACTCAGTAGATGTTGTGAATATTCACGGCCAGGTCAGCTTGGTCTTTCCTACCACAATATTTCTCGCACTTCAATGAGTGAGGTTGGCCACAGACGGCTTGTAAGTGTCGTGGATGCGAACGTCATCTTTACCCCGGACGCCTCATGTGGCGGCGGAGACGCACAGATCAAATTACGAACCTAATTCAATTCGGCTCTGACGTCGCCAAAGCTTCCCAGCAACAGGCGAAAATCTGCGAAGCAGCTTCGGGTATCGATTCATGGTCAATTGCGTGAGGGCACATGAATGCGTTGCTCTTAATCATCAATTCGTCCCCGCTTTACGAAGTGGTGTGTTGGTATCCGTGGACCGTCCGAGCTTAGCGCACTGTGGTGGCCCACAGACTTCATGTGCTACAGCAGGAAGGAAGCGCAACTGTAATCAGAGACAAGTCCGACTTTAGAGAATAGAGAAGGCCTTTTTTTTTTTTTTTTTTTTTTTACAGCACATTGATCACGGCGAGAAGAAGGGGTAGGCCTTTGTCGCTCAGTCAACGTGCGAAGTGAGGGGCAGCTGCCCGTGGTGCATCGAGAAACACATCGTTGTCTCCTATGGTATATGGCCTCTGTCGGAACGGTGACATGTGTAAATCTGAGCCTGCTTTCCAGCCCGCAGAAGCAGCCACAAGCAGGACATGCACAAAGAGTTCCTGGCCTGCTGAATGCATCGAGGTCTCGAGGGCTGCACGGGCCGCTATTGACTAAGCGAAGAGCTCCATCCACAATCGAAAATTACCGTCCATCCTCAACGCCAACTGCGACTGCTCCGAGCTATCCACCTGCATCTTGAGAGCCGCGACCCTTGCACACCAGGGCCCGCTCTCGCATTCTTCACCGTCCTCCGACAGATTGAGCGTCTAGAAGGACAAGCGCGAAAGGCGCTTTAACTCCTCAACATGTCCATCGCTTCCAAGGTGCGTTAACCCACCTTGCGTCAGAGCCCCGCGAGAGGCTCAAAGACTCTTCGCAACGCCCACGCAGCGCCTCAATCGCACATTGGAACGCATCGCTGACTTTCTGCAGAACCTCTACGAGTTGCTGGGTGCGTTGAAACCATGGCGACACGCTCGCGAGACCCAAAAACCCCGCTAACTACCACGACAGGCAACGACCCAGAGCTCGACCCCGAGCGCGCTACCCCCCAGCCGCCGGTCAAGACTGTCGACAAGCCCGCTGCGAGAACCGGCAAGCGTAATGCTCCCGCCGAAGCTCCTGCACGGTCCGGCGCCGCTACCACTTCTTCCCGCCCTCCCCGGGACTCTGGCAACGCCAACGAGAACTGTATGTCTGCCCCCTCAGGCTCCAGCGCCCGCGCTGAGCCATAACGGCCTGGATGCGCGGCGCCCGCTTCTGGCACTCCCGCTGACATGTGCAGACATTCGGGATCGCAACGTAGGTGCGGATAAGAACCGTAGCCGAGGTGCAGGTTTTGACCGTGAGGGTGGTGATGCCCCTCGTGAGGGTGGCCGCGGACGTGGACGTGGTGGTCGCGGAGGTCGCGGTGGCCGTGGTGGCGCTAGGGGCGACCGCCAGAGCCGTGGCGTTGTCGGGTACGTCGTGCTTTGTCAATCTTTCCACTCTTTCACTAACTTTGCTTAGCGACCACGAGAAGCAAGTCGCTCACGGATGGGGAGCTACCAGCGGTGAAGGCGAGTTGGCCGACGAGACCGCCGGCGAGGCCATCGCCCAGAAGGACGAGAAGGAGGCCGTCGCTGAGGACGCCGCTCCCGAAGACGTCGCTGAGCCCGAGCCTGAGGACAAGACCAAGTCCTACGAGCAGTACCTCGCTGAGCTCGCTCAGAAGAAGCTTGACCTTGGCGAGCAGAAGGTGCGCAAGGCCAACGAGGGCAGCTCTGCCAAGTTCCCCGAGGGCAAGGCCGTTACCCGCGAGGAGAACGAGGAGTACTTTGCCGGAACCGGAGGCAAGAAGCAGCGCACTCGTGAGCGCAAGGAGAAGGCTTTCGTTGAGCTCGACGGAGACCGCCTGCTCCAGCCTCCTCCCCGCGAGAACACTGGCGGACGCGGCCGTGGTGGTCGTGGCCGTGGCGAGGGCCGTGGCGGTCGTGGCGGCGACTCCCGTGGCCGTGGTCGCGGTGAAGGTCGCGGCGAGGGCCGTGGCGGCGGCGGACGTGGCCCCCGTGGTGGCGCCCAGTCCGGCCCCAACCTCAACGACAACAACGCTTTCCCCAGCCTGGGTGCATAGTGTGTTTCCCTGATTGCGGAAACGGCATGAACTGCGAACGTCATGCCTACCTGATGGTTTAACGACCGTCATCTGAACAGTGTGAATGCAACATGAAAGGAAATGTGGGCCGATCGGCCGTCAGGACAAAAAGATTTACGGGTCTCACAAGGAACGGGGTGGCGGGCAAATCATCTACTTGGATGTGTTAGCTATGCTAAGAGCTTACTCCTTTTACTTTACTCTTTACGAACCGTGCCAGAACGTGCTGTGCCCTGTGCATGTAGGTGTGCTAACATGCTCCGTGAAGCAGAACAAGGCTGAGTCCCCCTCTCAAGCGCGCAGTGACCCAGTAGCCCGGCGGTAGTAATACCATGCTATGCCAGACCTCGATGTCGAGATAATGCAATTCAGCTCTCGAATGTCACAAATCCCGTCTAGCATCGTACCGCCGCAGAGTCCCGGCTTACCTTTTGAATCTGACCCCGATGCACGAACGCAGCGACGTCGGGTTGGAAATGCAGGGACACGAGCACGCAAGGGGACCGCGGCTGAGGCGAACTGGTGCTGCCCAGCCGAAGACTCACATTGCTGCCGAAAGCCTCGTGGGTCTTGGATCGTACGACTCGTCGCTATTGCAATGTCCAAGCAAGGTCTCAAACAGCGGGATGCGGCTCGATAGAACGAAGCGGGTGTGTGGGAGGGGGTACGTGAGGGACGCCGCAATGTTCAAGATGGGTCAGTGTGGAAGTCGTGCGGATTTCGGACACGATTCGAGATTGAACGAGTGCAATCGGATGCTGAAACCGTATGCCATGTGGTCTTGTGGAGCCTATGTTTCCATAGCTCCCAGTCTAATACTCTGAACTTCAAGAATCCAGGTCTCCCTGGTCGCAAGAACTATACCAGTCAATTCCCATCTCCCAAAACGCCATGCCGTGCGACGCCACGCTTGCAAGCCGTTGCGCGAAGATGCGCGCCATATAAAACTCCACGCTGCCCAAGGAAATATCAAAAGTCGTCTAACGTGCCGCAACCCATTGCGTCTACAGCCGCTCGTACTCGGTCTCACGCGCGTTGACTTCGAAAGCGTACCCGACGTCCTTATCCGCTTGCTCAGCCTCATCATGAGTGCAATTCTCCTCCTCACCTCCAATCTCCTGTGTATCACAAGTTTCTTGTGTAGTATCCTCCTCATTCTCAGCCTCTTTTTCAACTTTGTGCGTATCCTTGTGGGTACCATTCAGATTATCCTTGCATCGGTGACAAACGAGAATTCCGCATCGGTCGCACTCACATGCGAAGTTAAAAGGCGTGCTCTTCGTCGCCAAGGGGTTCTCGCTTTTACTCTCGAACAATTCGTCCCAGTCAGGCATCTCTTCGTCTGTGTTACCGGGAGTCGGCTGCTTCGCTGTGGCGACGGTGTTGCCGTACAGGTCAAGCACGCGCGATGCATCATCCTCCTGCGAGAATGAAGGTGGGAGAAAGCTCGAGAAAGAGGCAGACGAGGAGCTCAGGGGTGAGGCTGCAATCATTGCCCCGAGGTTCTCCATCGATCGGTTACCGCGCAGCGAGCTCATGGCCTGTCTCCGAGGATGCCGTACTTGATGCTCCCGCGTGAGATATACTCGTGTCCGTATGCCAGCAGGTGCAATAGCAGTAGTTGTCTTCGATTTGCCAGTGTTGATAGATTTTGGCATCATGATCTCCGGATGTATGGTTGCCCAGCATTTCATGCACTCCACGGGGTTGGCGGAAGCGTCATTCACGAACGCGTCTTTGATTCCTATCTTCGCCGTGGTAAAGTCGTGGTAGCAGTCCCATGAGCGGTCTGCATAGTTATCACCAGGCTCGTTGCCAAAGTCGTAGTTCTGGTCTTCCCAGTAGCGTGACGATCCTCCGTCTAAGTTCCTTACTCGTGCAGAGGTGGGTGAAGTCTCTATTACAGTATCTTCGAGCTTTCCGGTTGTTGGCGAGGACGATATTCCATTTATGGCCGTTACCGGTGGCTCTGTACCCTCGCCAGTTGGCAACATGTGAGGAAAGACGTGCGCAAGGTTGGCGGTTGGCGAAATTGTCGATGGGGCGTCATCCTCTTCTTGGACCTCATCGTATTCTTCCTGGTCAGGCTCATAGTCTGAATAGTCGTCTTCATCTTCATCATCGCAGTTCCCTAAACAGTTGTCCCTTCCCTGCATGCAACCCCAGCAGAAGTGGGCTCCGCACCGACATTCCATGTGGTTGCAGCCGTACATCCGCTTTACTCCTTGCCCGCATTTTGGACACTTCCTATATCCCCACTTCTGCAGCAGATCTGCCGTCTGCTTGTCCACTCCAAAGTTGAAGGGGCTGCATATTTCGTTTGCATGCGCTAGGCTCCTGCAGTTTGTGCAGATGTCGACCTCGCACTTCGGACACGTTACTGTCGGCCTAGTAGGCGTCCCGATTCCGGAGTCCACTCGCTGTTTGCCTTTTCCATTCTCGTTGGCCTGCGGCAGCATACGGTTAGGTATGAAAGTGGAGCATCGTGCAACCGGACAGTAGAACGGACTTGGTGTTCCCCACTCCTCGTACTTGGCCTTGAACAACGTTATCTCTTCTGCTGTTAAGTACGGGCGAGCGTGGTGTAGCGGTATTTGATTGCAGCAGCGTGGCGGCATGCGAGATAGGTCCTTACAGGCGTTGAGGAACATGTCCTTGAGACAAGGTACACAAAATGCGCGATTACACCTGCTGCATGGACGTAATTCTTTGGCTGGTTCCTTCTCAGGTCCATCGCAAGGCGCGCAGCAGATCAGACAATTCTGGCCGGCTCCTGGTAATTGATCGAAGCCTCGCAGTATGGACGCTGAGTGCGAATCAGTCGATCGTCGCGGGTGCGGTTCAACCTCCATGGCGTCGGTATCGTGAGCTGAGGTAGGCTCGCATACGGGAGAGTCGCGGGTCGAAGTGGGAGCCGTGGTGGTGTCTTTTCCCGTTTGCTCGTGGTCATAGGACTCTTGGCGGCTAGCTTTCTCGAGTTGGTTCTGTGGGAGGGCGGTGGAAGCTGGAAGCCGCGGTGAAGCCGTAGCTTCGTGCTCATAGAAGGTCCGGCTGAGCTTGGAACCCATTGTGAAAAAAGTTTGGCTTGCTAAATACGTCCATTTGACAAGAGATATCACGCATTTATACGTTTTCAAGAGAGTGGCTGGTCGTGCGATACTTTGACTCACTGTCTTGTAGCTGACCTAAACCGGGGTAGCATCTGCGGCGAAGGCGGTGTTGCCTGAAAGGCAGCTCCATGATGAGGCCTTCCATTGGAGATGAGTCTTCACACGGACCTGCACCCCACATTCGCGCCTATAGCCAGAATCACTGAGCTATCTGCTTGATCATATTGCGGCTGCTCATGATGCCATAGATTTTCATTGGTAAATGCGACGTCGACGATTGCGGCAGCGTGGCGGTGCATCCGCCCACAGTCCTCACACGTGGCATACATGCGGTGCGAAAGGGCGAGAGGACAATGTCAGCTTACTGCGTGCAGATGGTGGTTCGCCTTGCGCCCTTCGGACGAGATAGAGAGTAGATGAGTGGAGTATTCGCTGCCCTTCACTCCTCGCTTAATCCGAGGCGCGTGCAAGAACCCTGCAAAGCATCCTTCTGAGACATGATCATGCGTCGAATCATTCGCAATTCCAAGAGCAGTGTATTTTTTGGTGTTCCTTTCAAATTCTTCCATCGTCTCGAGCATGCGACAAACCCGTTCCCCATGGGGTCCATTCATGTAGCGATGAAGACCATGCGGACACAATGAAACATTCAACTCCAAAACTCCTAGCAAGCGGGCATGGTTTCTACCAAACAAGGATCCTTATTTGCATACGAATGTATCGTCATGCAGTACAGATGTAACTTGACTTGAGGTTGTTGAGCCGATTGGTGGTCTGTGCGCAGTGGCTGACGGGTGCGGCTACCTTGCTTCTGCATCTATTTCCTCTCCTCTCTGCTCTTCTCACTTCATACGCATCATTCTGAATGCTCAGCTGCTCTGCAACTGACGGTGAAGGTTGATGAGCTTGCTCTTCTTCTCTCACCTGCACCCTTCACTTTAGAAGCCGTCGTCAAATCCCCTTTCACACGTGCACGATATGTACTGTTTAGCGTCGGTCACCCAACGTTCAATTGAAGATTGAGATGGGTTGTCGCTCTTTCGTACAAATTCCCGTTGTCATGCTACGAGAGACTCGTACGGCCCTAATATCGAAATTTCTAACGAGACTGCAACATCGATGCACGCACCACTGCGAACAGGAGCTGACTCGGTTTCCAAGCTCAAGAAACCGGCAATGCAACGGCACGGCGAGTTCTAGATCAGTCGTATGAACAGTCGATCATTGAAAGAGTACATCGGGGGCCATCTATTGTCCTATAACCTTCCAGTGTCAAGCCTCGATAGGACGTTGTACGGCGCAGCAATATGTGGAATTTCTCAGGTCTTCTGGGCGCCTTCTGGGCATCGTGCTGGGCATCTTCGACAACCATCCTCTTCCTAAGAGTGTTTCGTCGCGAAAAAATCACCTTCCTAATTGGCTGCTTGCGTGCCAGAGAGCCGATGATGCAAGGCTGGGCGCAACTTGCAGCATGCGCGACCCATGTTGCCGGGATTCACACCCCAGCAATCGAGCTTTTATATATGAAAGAATATAAGAGTATAAGAGATAGGCGTGGGAGCATCACCATCAAACGCTTCCAATTTCTCGCCCGACGCTTGCAACGATCATGGCGGCTCAGCTGAGGCGTATCTTACAGCTCAATAGCTCAGGCGCAGATGTCGACGCTCAAGTCGTGAAGGAGAAGAACGCGCAGATTGGCGACAACTTCTCAGTCGAAGGTGTCACGGTATATCAAGATGCCAATGGAGCTCCTGTGGAACAGGTCAGTCCCTTGGGCTACCACGTTGGCTGGTATGGAATCTTGTTCTTGAATGTCAGCCAGATGGTCGGTACAGGAGTGTTCAGTACTCGTAAGTTCTCTTACCTAGAACATGCTCCTATGGCACTAACAAACTTGCAGCTGGAAGTATCCTTCGCGCCTTGGACTCTGTCGGTATGTCAATGATGTACTGGTTCTTCGGAGCTATAATCGCAGCGGGTTCGTACGATGTCTATCCCCGATTACTTGCAAAGACTAACGTGCAAGCAGCTGCATTGGCCGTATTCTTCGAATACGCGTCTCTGTTTCCGCACCGCTCTGGTGGTCAAGTGGTCTATTTGGAGCAGGCCTTCCCCAAGCCGGCATTCCTTTTTGCCACCATGTACGCTTTTATCACGGTCATATTCTCGTTCTCGAGCAGTAATGCCGTTGTTCTTGCTCGGTATATCTACCGCGCCGCGGGCTACCAAGCTGGAGAATGGGCCAACAAGGGGCTTGCGCTCGCGTCATACACCTTGCTGGCCTTCTTTTGTTTGATCTCCAACAAATGGTCGCTGCGTCTCATGAACCTGATCTCGGCCGTAAAGCTGATCATTCTGGTCTTCATCGCGATTACCGGTTTCGTTGTCCTCGGGGGCGGCACGCACATCAAGGATCCGCGCGCAAACTTCCGGAACAGTTTTGACGGGATTACAAACAACGCAAATGACATCGTCAGCGCTCTTGTAAACATCAACTTTGCGTACACGGGATACTCAAATGCCTTCAATGTTGTGGCTGAGATCAAGGTGCGTTTGTCATTTAGCCTGACTCCATATGATTCTGACAGTGGCATAGAACCCGCTCCACACTCTGAAGCGAGTAGCCCCCCTTTCGCTGATTATCGTGTCGATTCTATACGTCCTCGCGAACGTTGCGTATTTCGCTGCCGTGCCTGCTGCAGAGATCCGCGAATCTGGGGAATTGGCAGCCGCGATGTTCTTTGAGGCTGTCTTCGGAACCAAGGCTGCAAAGGGTCTTCCTGCACTGATTGCCGTTAGCGCTGCAGGAAACATCATGGCAGTCATTATCGGTCACAGCCGCATGATGCGGGAGTGCGCGCGACAAGGTCTTGTACCCTGGCCGCACGTTTGGGCGAGTACCCGACCCTTTGGCACACCGTTCGCACCCACGCTGCTAATGTGGTTCCTAACGGTCGTTGTCATCCTTGCCCTGCCATTCGGAGATGCTTTCAACTTCCTTGTCGACCTTCGCAGCTATCCCGACAGTGTGTTCTTGTTTCTGATGGTTGTGGGCATCTATTTCATCAGGCACCGCAGAAAGAGGGAGGGTCTCCCACCGGCCCCATTCCGAGCCTGGCACATTGCCAACATCATCTCGGCTGCTGTGTGCTTGTTTATACTCGTCATGCCTTGGTACCCTCCGGACGAGAACGACTACTCTTTCTGGTATGCAACATATTGCGCTGTCGGCATAGGACTGCTTGTTGGCTGCGCCTTTTACTACTTTGTATGGATCAAATGGCTACCGAAGCTGAAGCACTATTCGATCAGAACCGAGACGTTGGTTTCCGACCAGGATGGCAGTGTGTCGCATCGTCTCAGAAAGGTACCTAACGCAGAGGTCGAAGAATGGGACCGAACCCACGACGAGGCAGGTAATGTGCTCTCCGAGGCGGGCGGTGCGAGGAGCGTGGACGGCAATCAACACTTGTTGAGGAGAGTGAGAGTCAGCGATAGAGAGACGGCTGACGGTGTTGTGCTTGAGACCAAGGTATAGGTTCGAAGGCGGGCAATGGATTTTCCTGCAACTCTCCCGCCCTCCACCACACAGTAGCATTCCAGTGAAGGCTCTCCCGATCCAAAGAGCCCGTAGGTTACATCATATCAATCTATCCAGACGGTGCGCGAGATCGAACTGCCTCACTTAATCAACGCCACGGTGGCTGAAGTATCTCGTTCCGCTTGACATTCGGCCCGAATTTTCTTACCGATGACCAGCCAGCCTCATCCTTGTTGCTCCTCTACCCAACACTTGCATGTGAAAGCCTGTTCGGAGGACAGTAGCCAGCGCGAGGACCTGAAACACACTGTTGGTCGAGTCGCCAAGACGATGGCGTCTTTACACGAGCCACTGCGCAGCCAGCCTGTTTCTTGGTAGCTCTCTGACCAAAAACTTGGATGACTGGACCCTGATACGCGTTGGTGCATGATGGCACATCGCCAAGGACGACCCGCACGCGGGACGATCACTTGGGCCAGCCCCAGGCAGATGCCATGACGTAGGGGTCTGCAGCGCATCGTCACTAGCCGCTTTTGCGTCACTGCTATCGATCTGCCCTTGCGTGACCCATATATCATCCGGCGCCTGGAAATCTTGATCACCATAACCACTCAGATTGACGAACACAACGATCACCTCTTTTCGCATTCGTCGAAAAACACTATAATCACAACCGCAAACATGACCGACCAAAACAAGAACCAGAACCAGAAGAGCTACAAGGAGGCTGCGGGAGAGTTCTACAACCGCCAATATGAGTCGTGGATGCCCTGGATAGAGGACAAGTACCTCAGCTGGTTCACAAAGGACAACAAGGCGTCTTATGCGACAAAACGTGCGTACCTTATGTCTAGCATCCTCCTATCCACGGAGACTAACGCTTTAAGCAGAGGAGCTAGACAAGACTAAGATCACGGGTAACGAACAAATCGACAACCTCCAGGACGGGGTCAACAACCTCGTCGGCGGACAGCTCGGTAAGGGCGGTCTCGCGCAGCCAGTTGGCGATGCGTTCTCCAAGGAGGGCGTCAACCGAATGGAGCGAGGTGGAAAGGACGAGAACGGCAGCTACGGAGGCCCGCTCGGAGGATATGGACAGGCTGCAGCCGACGGCGCGAAGGGTGCGGGCGAGGGTCTCGCTGGAGGCGTAACCAGTGGAGTGAAGAGTGTGGGTGGTCTGCTTGGAGGCGGAAAGGGAGAGAAGAAGTAAATGATTCACGTTGGTGTGGGGTCAGTGGAAGGTTCCTGTTCCACGAGGGTCGGGACATGCATGATACCAAGTTTACGACTTTCTTTCTCTTTGGATTAGACTGGAGTTGAGTAATGTAATGCGCAAATGGAATGAGAAGAAGTTCATTAGCTTCGGAGTATTATACAGGTTGCGACGTGTAGACTCAGTTCGCCCGTCTTACTGGGTTGTGAGGAAGCTTGATTTGTGCAAGGTAGCACTTTGCAGCGTAGCGGATTATTGTATAGAAACCAGCGTCCATTTGAGATACCACGGGAGAATTCTGGTGATGTTGCAGCCGTGTCGCGAACTCTTGTGTTCTTTCGGATGAGGCAGCGCAACGATTGGCCCAGCGATTGGCTGCTCCAGGGTGCCTCGGATTTCGCACCCCTCCACAACCATCCCACCATGCCCTGCGACCGCACCGCAGCGGCATCGCACTAAACTCTTGCGTTCTTTCGTGATGAACCACCAATTGGCTGCCCCAGGGTGCTCGATATTCGCCTCACTCACATCCGACCACCATATTCTGCGAGATTGCGGCGCCGTGCCGCCTATCACCATAGAATTGACAAATGCGCTTGTGTCTGAATGCTTACATGCTGATGCTCTGGTCTGGTCTCGCGGCCGACGCTCTTGATCCTCTGACTGACAGTCTCCTACTGATTGCAGCTACATCCTACAACTCCATATTACAACAAACAACTCCACGCAACCACAATGGCACAAAAGCACGACTCAGGTGAGCGGTCTGTCTGATTTCCGACGAACATGAAATTATGGCCCAAGTCGGTTAACCGAAGAATAATACAAAAACAATCCCGGAGTGAACACTGTGACTCCTTCGTCCATAATTTGTTGCTAAGTACACAATGATGTCCTTCCATGTTCCCTATCTGTTGTGGATACATTCCCCGCATCTGACCTTGCCCAATGCACCGAAGCTTATTGCCGATGCCGAGGGTACTGACGTATTAGGTAAAGCCTCAACAACATCGCGCCCTATGTACTTTGTTTGCCCTAACTCCAATCTCTTCTTTACCGTCTTTACTTTGCTCACTGAGACCTTTTTGCTGATTTGTTCTGTTTGCAACGTCTTGGTTCATCATCGAAGATCAAGCCTGAATGAAGTAATGTACTAAAGGGAAGAGTCGGACAATATACGAAGGACCCTACCACGACGCCTGGTGCATCTTCACATACACAATTCCCATCGTCCGCTCGCAGAACTTGAGCAAAATGGCGGACAGAATCACTCTCGGTCGCTACATGTGGGAAAGGTAAGCCTACGTCACACACCTCACAGTTCACACCTAGCCCACACAACAAAGCATTAGACCCTAAACTCTTTCTAGAATCCACCAAATCGGCTGCACATCGATCTTCGGCGTCCCCGGCGACTTTAACCTCCAATTCCTCGACTCCATCTTCCTTACCCCCGGCCTCTCCTGGGTGGGCAATCAAAACGAGCTCAATGCCGCCTACGCCGCAGACGGCTATGCCCGCGTCAAAGGCGTTCCCGGCTGTCTCGTGACTACCCATGGTGTCGGTGAGCTCTCCGCACTTAATGGCATCGCTGGCTCAATGTCTGAGCACATACCCATTATCCATGTGGTCGGCCAGACGACCCGCGCGATGCAGAGCAATCACATGATGATCCATCATTCCATTGGACAGAAGCCGGACCACCAACTGTATAACAAAGCGAGTGTGCCGTTGAGATTTGCGGCGGCGGAGCTGTGGGATTTGGAGACGGCGCCGGGGGAGATTGATAGGGTTATCAGGGAGTGTGTGGTAAAGAGTGGGCCGGTGTATATTTTTCTGCCGCTGGATTTGAGTGCTGAGATGGTGGATGCGAAGTTGCTTGATACTCCGATTGATTTGAAGCCAACTACTGACGAGAAGAAACAGGCGGAGGCTGTGGATGCCATATCAAAGGCTCTCGCAGAGGCAAAGCATCCGATACTGTTGGTCGACGTGCTCACGAGGAGGTTTCGTGCTGTGGAGGAGACCAGACAGCTGGCGAGGAGGTTGGGGGTTCCAATTTTCGCGTCGAATATGGGGAAGGGGATTGTGGATGAGACGGAGGAGATGTACGGCGGCGTGTGGATGGGCCAGGTGAGCAGCCCTGGTGTGCTCGACGAAGTCAAGAAGGCGGATCTGGTCATCACATTGGGGTACCTCCCCGCGGACACGAATTCCGGTGGTTTCTCACGGAAGCTGGACGAAGCAACCACCATCCGAATAGACCCACACGAAGCCACCGTCAAGGGAAAGAACTATTCGGAAATCGCTATGAAGACTCTTCTCGACTCCCTCCTTGAAGCGCTTCCCGAAAAACCCCAACACGCCATCTCAAAGCCGCACCTCCCCGCTCCACGCGTCCCAAACGATAACGACAAAACCAACCTCACGCAGTCCTACATCTGGTCAAACATATCCACCTATCTCTCCGCGGGCGATATAATCCTTGGCGAAACAGGCACCTCCAACTTTGGCATCTACGATATCCTCTTTCCTTCCCATCTCCAATACGAAGCGCAAATCTACTACGGTAGCATTGGCTGGGCGGCCGCTGCTACGTTCGGAGCGGACGTCGCGCACCGCGAGCTCCTCACTTCTAGCTCACACAGGAAGGATAAGGGGCGAACAGTCCTGTTCACCGGCGACGGCAGTCTCGCGTTGACGATCCAGGAAATCGGGTCCATGGTCAAGCACAAGAGCACGTGCGTGGTCTTCGTCATCAACAACGAGGGATACACTGTCGAACGCATGATCTGGGGCGCGAGACAGATCTACAACGACATTGTACCAACATCCTACAAGCACCTGCTCCCGCTATACAACCATCCCGATCCCACAAATTCGTACCATCGGGTTACCACGAAAGCAGAGTTCGATCAAGTGCTGAAGAAGCCGCAGATAGTGAATCCGGAGAATGTGCAGCTGGTGGAATTGGTTGTCGAGAAGCTGGACACAAGTTGGCGGCTGGGCGCGCAGTTGGCGGTGCGGGGCGAGGAGGCGAGGAAGTACTTGAAGGAGGAGGGGTTTCATGATGCGTATGGGAATTGGGGATTGAGTGAGGAGGCGATGGGGGGAACTGGGGTGAGTTGGAAGTAAGATGCGTGTACGAGAGTGTGGACGGGTGGGGCTGGAAATGGTGACTTGTAAGGACGGGATGGCATGGCACACAGCAGTAGACAACTTAGCTTTCAAAAGAAGTCGATGCCCATGATGGTTCGTCACCTGGGATCACCAAAGACGTTCGCAATCCTAATTGTCTCCCTAGACAGTACTTGCGATAGGTTGTAGGCACATTAACCATGAGTTCTTTGTGCTCGCCTATTGCTCTTGCACACTAATCGGCATTTGCTGCTTTGAGAATACCCAGCCTAAGACAAAGGACTTTATTGGTTTTGAATTCAGCTTGATCTTTATTTGCAGGGTATATGTGTAATGCCTCCACATTGCGCTTCCTGGAGCCTCGAAAGATACTCAGCCTTTTCACGGCACGATGCACGGTTTCTGCTCTAAATTGACGCACTAGGACTATTTGCAGCATACGTGAGGGTTTTGCAAGGTTCATTTCCCTGCCTAGCTCAAACCCCTCGGGCATACTAGACTATCTAGTGCCTTGTCATGTCTGATTGCCCTGAGTTAATTGAGGGTGCGTCGCTGATCTGCCGTCTTAGTTCCTATGGGCACGACGTGAGGATTCCTCATCACGCGTCCGCTCTACATAGACGTCCATCCTCCTCCGCCTCTCACCCATGCATCGCTTCCGACAGCAGTCTCCGCATACAGCAAGCTGTCCGGATCCCACTTCCGCTTTATGCTATCCGGATGCTCTCTTCTTGCGCAAACAACAGACCCGCCTTGATATCGTCCACATTCGCGACATTGATCGCGTATTCGACGTAATTCCCAGAAAGACACGGCTCATTTCGGGGAGTGAACGGATCGCAGGTCGCATCCTGGAAGAACGGGGACATGAAGTCGGAGGGATGATCGAAGCTTCGACGCTTAAGCCACTGCGGATGCACAATGAGTGCGGAGTTTCTCCAATGCTACTTACTGAGCTCGAGGAGAGCAAGGGACGACTGGAGATCTTCGCAGGCAGTCGCGTTGTAGGTCGGATCGTGGCAAATATGACCGTGTGGAACAGCCGGGATAAGACGCTCGGTCACGCTTGTATTTAGCTTTGCCCACTGATCGGCGCGTGGCCAACCGTCGTCTCCAGGGATATAACGTCATGCTGAATTGTCTGGCTCACGTGTCGGCAGCTTGAAGGTGACGACACTGCCGGCTGATTTTGCAAACACCAGATAACGAAAGAATCGCATGACGAGTCCGCGTGTGAAAGTGCAGCTGGGTTTTGCAAGAGTAGCTACTTGGCAGGTGAGCAATCGAAAAAAGCCCTCTGTTGAAGCAGGGCAGACAGGTCACAGAAGAGAGAAGGTGCGACTTTCAATCACTAGTCACTCTAATTGGGCTAGTCTAAGTGAAAGTAGAAACCGAGTCGCGCAGCTGCATAATCTAGATTGTGGTAATCGTCTTGAACAGGAACCAAGAGGCCTGTTTTTTTTTTTTTTTTTTTAGTTATGTACGACCATCACATGTTCTCATGTCACAACTCTGTGCACACATCGTTGAGCAAGCTGTCCTTGAGTAAACGATACATTAACTAACTTACTCTGAAGATTTTCCAGCAGCGACAGATCCATATTATTTGGTGGCATCCTATTGATAAGTAGTGTTGAGACTTGTTCCATGACATGACCCGATGTACAGTGCCCTCAACTCCACACGTTTTGTACTTCTGCAGGCATCAGAATGCTCGATCGCATGTTGGTGGAAAGTTGAATAGATTTATATGTGGAAATAAGCAGATTGGTGACTTTGAAATTGTGGATACATACGCGGCCTCGTACCGACCAAGTGCAGTTCTCAAACTCTGGGGAAAGTGCTCCTGAAAGCGTCGTTACATCAAGCAATAGTCAATGCGGTAGTTCCGGTGGCGCTGAGGAGCCGTTTGAGCTTTTGGTAGTTGTGACATTGGGGACCTGGAGTCAGCAGGCAGGCATCGCCACAAGTGTGCTGAAGAACTTCGAGCTGGAGCTCCTTGCAAGGGAACTCCATGGCGCCGAACCGCGTCTCCAAGATTCGAAGGAGCTCAGGGAGTACATGGATATAGTGGGATGCATTTTCGTTCCGAAATAGAGTCCGCCCAGTCTGCACGATCACAATTTTGAGGGTCTCAAGCTGATCAAATCCTCGTTCAAGGTTCGCAAGCTTCTTTAACCAGGAATAGTGTACCATCGCCACCGTCTCCAGCGTATAGGAGCTAGCGATGAAGAGACTGATCTGTAGCTCCAAACTCTTGACCCAATGAGCAGTCATTGTGTCCGGGTATGCTAGTACAAACGGGCAACTGCTAGAAGGAATCATAGCGCCAGTCTTGAGGCTGAGGAAGCGGCCTTCCTTGATGATGAGTGTGTTGTATTTGAACAGAGCCTCTGGAACAAGGTGAGCAAAAGAGGGCAAACTCAAAAGCTTGTCCACCCGGGCCTTTTTAAGATGCAACCAACGATCGGAATGGATGCCATTTGGAAAATGAAGAGCTTGCGCAAGGATTTCTAAAAGAATCTCTTCTGGGAGTTTCGCTATAGCGGGGCTTGCTATCATGTTTGAGGTTGGTGTATCCATGATGGTTGAGGGTGGTATCTGACCTGAAACTGGTATGGGGAAAGTGTTTTGCGAGTATCAATTAATACTTGGTGGGTGACTTGCGTGTGTGCGCGACGTGATGAATGATGTGTACAGAGATCGAGAAGATCAAGGAGACTTACTGAAAGAAGTGGAACCTTTCCCTCTGCTTTTGTAGAGTTTCTGGGCCTATGCACAATGATCCCGAGAACAATGTCTACGAGCATAAATCATACACGATGTTTGAACGTCTTTGCGCATCGTGATCATTATGTTGTGTCTCAGCGGATGGAGTAGGATACAATTTGTTCAGTACAGTCATGATCCGCTTGTTTTTGCTCCCCGGGCTCTGAGAACATGTTATGTTCCGTACCCACTGTGGAGGTCGAGTTTCTGTGCCGCATGAATGCTGCGTGGAGACACTCCCACCACAGAAATACAGCTGTATAGCTCTCCATCTCAATTTGTAGGTTTAAATTGCTGGCAGGGCCGTAACACGATAATAACGATTACAAAGTGAAGTCCGTGAACAACGTTATTCCGAGTAGGGTTATGACTATGAACGCTAGCTCCTTATCGGATCGAGCACGCACATGGGCAATGAACATACCCCCAGCGCGACCCCCCGCCCACATCAGCCCACCCCAGCTTCGACATTCCAACAACGATCGCTTCTCGTGATGAGGCCCCAAGATACTGGCCAGCTGCGCATGGCCGACAACAGTGTCAAGCGCGGAACTGCCCCAATCCATTCCCCCCTCCCTACGCCGGTCCACAATCAGCTTGCGCTGCGACTCGAGAATGAACAATAGTTTACCTCACCTTACCCCGTCGTTGTTAACGAAATCACTGTATGATCAGTTGAAGGTACGCATTCTCATCTTCGCCATCGTAGACCGTACTCTTTAATCGACGAACAGTCGTACATCCACTGCTCCTGCGATACTACTCGATTGCAACCTCCTGTCGCAGTTTGATCCTGGCACTACCTCTCGGAGACGGGACGGGACAGACAACAGCAGAATGTCCCCCAGCGCATAGTTTCCGTGCGCGAATACCCGACTCTTTGAATCTAGTTGAGCTTGAAGACCCCCTCGATTCCCAAGCACCGCCGTATTTGCGACAGGCGACCTGCCGACAAGAACGTCAAGATGACGTCTTCAAGGCGCCTCAACGGGAATTCACAAAACGCAACACGGTCACCGTGGAAAGCAGAGATGCCGAAGATACATGCTGTCTTCTTATAAAAGCTACTAGTAGAAAAGTATATACCAAGAAACGAAAAGGCGTCCTCTGCACCTGTCGCTGCCCACCACGAGCCCGCCGCCCAGCCTCCCATCGCTTTCCTGCTCAACGCGCTAGAGAACTCTCTAGCAGGAAGCACCCGAAGGCACGTTGGAGCACTTGGTGCTCTTCTTTCCGCCAGTGACGGCGACATCCCACTTCCAGTTGGAGCAGCTGCCCTTTCCGCAGAGAATGTAAACCGGAGTGGCGCTGCTGGCGACAGATCCCTTGACACCGCTGAGGGTCAGGTCAGTGATCGGGACACCAGTCGTAGCAGTGCCAGTCGGGCTGCCGTTCTCGTAGTCCTGCTCAAGGACAACACCGTACTTGCTGATGTTGGAGAGGGTGATGTCCTTGTAGGTAACGTTGTTGACCTTGCCGGTAGCACCGTAGACAGTCTTGACGCGCACACCGTTCTGGGAGTTGGAGATGCTGCTGTTCTCGATGACGACGCCGTCGACGGTGTTGTCGGAGCGGCCGCCGACGGAGCCGATGGAGAGTCCGTGGCCGCCGCTGCATGTGCCGCCGACGAAGTGGATGTTGGTGCCCGAGTTGATGGCGAGGCAGTCGTCCTGGTTCTTGACGTTGGCGTTGGAGATGGTGATGCCAGACGACGAGCCGACGTCAAATGCATCGGTGTTGTGGCCGCCGGTGTCGGTGTCGCCGGCCGAGTTGTCGATGGTGATGTGATCGAGGGTCAAGTCCGTGGCGGAGTTGATGGAGAAACCCTGCACGGGGGTGTTCTTGACGTTGAGGTTGGAGATGGTGGACTGCTTCATCGAGTGTGCGTAGAAGAACTTGGGCTTGGTCTTGCCGCCGTTGGAGCCCTTGCCGTCCCACCACTTCGCACCGTTGCCGTCAATGACGTGGCCGCTGGCGCCCTTGACGGTGATCTTGGTGCCGGAGACAGAGATCAGAGGACCTTCCCACTCCTTGTAGCCGAAGGAGGTGGTACCCTCGAAGATGACGGTGGTGCCGCTGTTCAACTTGGTGAGGTCGAGAGTGGTGCCTGAGGGAACGGCGACGTTGCTCAGGACGATGGTAGCGCAGGAGGCCTTGGACTTGCTGGCAGAGGCAGCGCCGTTGGCACCGGAGAAGGTGCAGCTTGCGGCGCGGTCCTTGAGCTGAGCAGCCTGAGTAGGCGTCGGGGCTGGGGCAGCCGACACAAGAGCGCCAGCGCCGAGGAGAAGAGCAGAGAACTTAGCAGAGACCATCTTGATGGTGAAGCGAGAAAGTTAGAAAGGAATGACTGAAGAATGAGTGACTGCAATGCTTTGCGGATGGATGTATTAACAGGACGGCTTAAGGACGATACTTATACGCAAACCTACGATCCCCCATGTCGGTTCACACGGAACCCATGGACGAGGATGGTGGTGGGTCCACGAGAGTGGGAAGGGAAAGGCTTGGTTGCGCTCGGCGGAGCTTGATCGTACCCCAGATGAAGGGTTGCGCTGGAAATGAGGATATCCACCATTGAGCGATACCCACCGCCGAGATTGCCAATGCTTCGGGCTGGCGCAATCCGTATTCAGCGAGAAGGAATGATAATTCTCCGTCCGGTAGCGCGATATTACATTTGCCTACCCCACGATTAGGTATACAGACCTCGTGAGCAGTTCCGATAGCCGTCAGGATCACTGTAGAAACATTAAGGTTCCATTCTCCTCTCACGTGGGTGCCCTCTGTTTGGTGGAAACAGAATCATCCCTGTTGCGATCATATCGAAGGCGTTATGGTGCGACAGCGCGCTAGAACATGCGACGCTCGACTGTGGCTGCTGCCGCCACAACGCGCGGCATCCCATCTCCGCAAATGGCATGTTTCATGCGGAGCCTCATGGGCCATGCATACGATTGTACGATGGCGCGCACGTTGTGTGGATGCGCGAGAGGAAAAGTGGAAGGGAGGTTTCATTTGAAACCAGAAAAGTGGTTCACGATAGGCGAGATGATGTTAGCGCCAGCGCCTCCGCATGACTCGACCGCTGTCTTTGCCTCCTTGACATTTTACTACCACGCCACGGACGATGGATCCGATGTTCGAGAAGCTCATCAACGGCGCATGTTCCCAAGGGAGACGAAACAGCCGTCTGCACGGGGGCTAGCTCGCAAGTTCTTGCTCCGTGACCCAAACATTGTGCCGATGGCGCAAAGTTATGCTCAGCGGCATCCGCAGCGAGTAGAGCTCATATCAACTACTGTGACATCTTTCGGGAGACATTTCATTAAATCTGTACACCTTTCCACCACCTCGCCTTGACCTTCCTCACGCCTCCTCCCCCCCAATATTTCTCCCCTCAAACCCTTCTTCCAATGCCTTGATCAACTCGTCCAATTGACCAACAACCATATCTGTACACTCATGCTCTTTCAAGTGCCCGTTGGCCTCGCTCTCCAACAGTACTGTTGCCGCCCCTGCCCTCCGTCCCGCCACCATGTCATCTACACTGTCACCTACCATGATTAGACTCTCACCTCCATCCTCATGCATCCACGTCTTCGCGATATGCAAAATGCCCGCAGGATCCGGCTTTGGTGGGCGGAACTCACGCGTGACGATAGGGTGGAAGAGGTGCTTGGGCAGGAAGGTGGTGAGTAGGTGGTCGACGGGGGCGTCGAAGTTGCGAGTGCAGATCCCCTTTTTAATCGAGCGCGAGTCGAGGTAGTCCATGAGCTGGACGAGGCCGGCTTGTGGGCGCTGCGAGGCCATAGCATTCCGTTCTATCGCGCGGATCTTCCCTTGCGCTTCGTCTTGCTCGGCGGGCGCGAGGGAGTAGACGTGGTCGAGGATGTCGGTTTCTTTGGTGATGCCGAGGGCGGAGCGCATCTCGGCGAACATGTAATTTTGCGGGAGGCCTTGAGGGTGTTAGCTCTGCAAAGTAACGGGTGTGCCCAGCAATAAGGCATGGTAGGCATCTGGATGCAGGTGCAAGGCGACACACGTGATTTCGCGCACCCCGGGGCCGCAGAGACCGCCACGTCCTCCCAATCTTCTCGCATCTATTCCCAAAAATCGACTTACAAAGCGTCCCGTCAACATCAAACACCACCCCCTTCAACACCGGCCTCTCATCGCTCTCCTTCCTCCTCGCCGGGTCCAACGGCGCGAACCTTCTCGGTGCCATGCTCCCAACTCTTCCTTTTGCTTTGCGTGATGTCGTACTGAAGGGTCGATACAGTTGTCGTGGCAGCTGTGTGGCACGGTGCATAGAATGTAAGGTACCAAGGGCGTGGAAGGCGCAGGTGCGGGTTGCGTTTTCGGGAAGTGGGTCTGTTTGGGTTGGCGGGGTAGCTTTCGTGAGTGAGCTGCGTGGGGGTCGCTGGCGTTTTTGTATGTCCAGGTAGTTGCGTGTGCAAATACTTACAAGTGGTATGCGAATTGTGCGCTTGGGAAGGGGTTTAGACGTTGGTGATATGAAGCCAGAGTGCTTTGGAGTGTATACGTCATTGTAAATTGCATAGGCCCGAAGTTGGTCTGCTCGGCTGGATACGTAGAAGGGAAAGCGCACGGCATACGATATTCTATTGAAGTGGATGCAAGTCTATAACAACAAGCATCAATGTGTATCTCTACCCAGCAACGTTCTCGGCGACCCTCTTCCCATCCTGACCTACCACGCCCTGCTCCCTTACCGCCTTCGCCTCCCCGACAGGCGCAAAGATCTTCGTGATGGCCTCAATCGTTGTGTTCCCACCACTGAAAATCACACCAATATTCCACCCTTCCTCACCAGCCTCCTTCTCCACGACCCTCCTGAAATCCTCGTTATACAGTATCGTCGCCAGCCCCACGACCGCACTCGGCTCAACAAAGCACTTCATCCGCTCCAGCACCAGCCTCATCGCATCCCTAATATTGTCCTCTGTGACCGAGTGCAGCGAGTGGACGTACGAAGGGTCGGCGACAATCTTCCAGTTGGTCTCGCCGAGCGGCGTGCGCAGACCATCGGCAATGGTAAGCGTCTTGACCGTCGTGATGCGCTCGCCGGCTGCCACACCGCGCCGTGCGTCGTCGCCGCCTTCAAATTCGGGCTCCGCGGCGAAGACTTTGACGCCTGTGCCGTGCAGCGCGACGGCGTTGCCCGCAAGCATACCACCACCGCCGCAGGGCGCGATGACGGCGTCTAGGCCGGTCTTCCCTTCTCGGACACTCAGCCAAGGGTCGCTCGCTATCAACGAGGACGCTTGCTCGGTGAGCTCCAGCGCCATGGTGCCCTGCCCGAGTATAATGTGCGGATGATCGTACGGCGGGACAAGCGTCGCGCCCGTGTCCTTGATCACGTCTGCCACAACGGCCTCTCGCTCCTGGCTCGTGCTGCCGCTGAAGTGTACGATGGCGCCCTGCGCCTGTGTTCCCGCAATCTTGCTCGGCGTGGATATCTTGGGCATGACGATGTGCGCGGGAATGTCGAACGTCTTCGCAGCGAGCGCGAGCGCTTGCGCGTGGTTGCCGCTGCTGTGCGTGACGACGCCTTTCCGGCGCACCTCTTCAAGGCCCTCGCGCTCGATGAGGCGCTTCACGGCGTGGAAGGCCCCGCGCACCTTGAAGGCGCCGATGCGCTGGAAATTCTCGCATTTGAAGAAGAGCTTGATCTTCGGTCTTGCGGGCTCCTGGCCTTCCCATGGTGTTCCTTTCAGCGCTTCGGCTGTCTGCGGTGTCGATGCGAGGTTGGACAGTGTAGTGTTGGTCTGCACCGGCGTGAGGTGGATGTTCGGCTTGATGAGATCGTGCGCGGCGATGACGGATTCGCGGGTCAGCGGCAATTCGACGTGAGAGCCCATGTTGATCGGCACAGGGTGGAGGCAGCGTTGGGCTGTGGTGGGCGAGGCATTTTGAGAGTGCTTCACAGGCGGGGAAGGGCAACTCGCAGGGCGTGAGGGCGGAGGAAAATGTGGGGGCTCGCGGAGTGAACCGCCGCCAGCGCCGTCCCTCTCGGGTGTAAGCTTAGCCTCATTGTTCCCCCAGAGGGCGGAGGGCTACTGTGAGTGGAACATTAGCGACACGACTGCGCATCGATGGTGTATACGTGTACGATGGAAATGTTTTGCACGGCAGTGTGCACTCGCTTCTCATCATTCATTATCTATAACTACACATTACAACGTTCTAGTACATCCTCGGCATCCTCATGCTGTTGCTGCGCGGCTTGACGCCCGGAACCTTGAGGTCGGTAGCATTGGCCTGCGGCTGCTCCACCCACTTTTGTGTGGAGAAGGGGTCCCTGGAGCTCAAGCTGTCAACGCGGCCGAGCAAGAACTCGAGCTGCCTGTAGCCGCTGCTAGGCTGGTATTGGGGCACCATGTGTCCGGAGAGCGCCTGCTGCACCCAGGTGAGCTTGCGCTCCGTGTGCGTGATGCCCATGACGCCGCTGGCGCTTAGGCTCTCGTAGCTGTAATCTTCGTGGTAAGGGACATAGAAGGCATCCGACGGCGCTTGCTGGAAACCCTGCTGTCCGCCAAAGGTCATGTTCTGGATGGTCATGAGGGTTCCGTTGTACAAGAGGATGAAGTCGAGGTCGCCGTGGACAATGACGGTACGGTCAAGCGCATCGATGGCACGCGGGAGAACAACCCAAGAAGAGTCGACAGAAGTGTCGGTCTCGAGAGCAGTCTGGCACTCTGCCCAGGGCTGGACGGGCGCATTGATAGCCTTCTGCACATCGGTGCGGTTGAAGTAGATCTGCTGGCCCTCTGGGAGGTAGTCGAAAGAGCCAGGGAAACCAAGCTGATCCCATAGGAGCGGGCAAGTGGTAGCCACCTGGTAGACGTCGAAGCAGGGGTTGGTGAGCATCACAGCGGCCATGATGTCACTCCAGATAGCGCACCCATCGTCTTGGTTGGTCATGTTGGGAGTGGGCAACTTGCTGACTGGAGGGAAAGTGAGGTATTTCTCCATGTAGTCGGTGTAGCCGCACTTGTCAGCGCGCTCGTGAATATCAGCCGTAAAGGACTGGTTGAGGTTGAAGAGGCCAGACCACCGGTCAACGAAGGGGACGGCTGGGATATCCTCGAGCAGAGTGTCGGCGGCAACAGATGGGTCGTAGATCATAAGACCCTTCACATCGTAGTACTCTTTGTCCTCCTGGTCCAAAAACTCATTCGCAATGTAAGGAATGTACTTGCCAGCGTAGGATTCGCCAGCAATGTACACTTTTCGTCCGCACAGATCGAAAGTGTCGACGAAGTTCTTCCAGAAGCCCGCGAACTGCGCCGCAACCTCCTCTTCGCTGCTCGCGGTTGGTTTACCTTGACTGAAGCCAGTACCGACAGGCTGCTCGACCCAAACCATGTTGGTAAGGTTCGCCCAGTTCCATGGGTTGTACACAGGCTTTGGAGTTCCGTACTGCCATGAGATGGGACCGTTTTCCTGGAGGAAGCCTTCAAGAGAAGAGCAGCCGGGGCCCTGAACAATTTTAGCATGAAATTGTGGGTATAGTAGGAAGGGGCACGGACGCCGTTCAGCCAGATGGTAATCTCATCACCAGCATCCTCGTTGGCGCTCGGGAAGAACCAGAAGTAAAGCTGGTCCGTCTCATTCGCCTTGTCGCTGATGGGCATCAGACCAGCGTAGCTCTCGCCAATGTCGAAGTCGACCTCGGGGATCGCTCCCGCCGTGCCGTTCACCACGTATTCTACATTGGTCAGCGACGGATCCTGAAATCGATCCTCTGCGCGAGAGAATCGAGGAGCGGTGCGACTCACTCGCAGTCTTCTCATTCTGCGGAATGATGGTGGTGCCATCGCGTTTCACATGCGGCGCAGCGTGCTTCGTGGGGCTCCTCTGCGGGAGCTTGATGCCCTTTCGCTCGAGCGCAGCACCGCGGGAACCCTGGGTGTTGATGGCGCTGGCGAGCCCAGTAAGGGCTAGAAGAGAGAGCAACTGCATAGTGTCTGCTCAATTGGCCTTGTCTCGTTTGGTGTTGAAGCCTCAAAGTCTTGTCAAGGACAGACAATCGCGATTGACCCAGGCAGCGACCGAAGGGATAAAAGGTACCACAGCATGGGAGCGACGTCACCCATCTTTATCCCAACAGGCAGTACTCAAGCTATGATCGGAGGAGCCGCTTACTTGTGGTCGTGATTGGACATCGTCATGGGCCATATCTGCAGGTGGCCCGGGTTCAAGAGCTCTTCTCCCGAAGAGGAAGGCGCCCGTGTTCAATTTTGTCGCCACTGGCTGTTGCGCGCTGGTTTCCTGGGGCTTGGAGAATCCTTGAGGTGCGGTGGAGGAAGCGAGGTGGAGGCATCTGCTAGCTTGTCGGCACAGCATAGGAAGAGATCCCACTGTGATGGCTGCGCAGTTGAGTGCGTTGGTTTTCTGCAGATCCGTTTTACCCAGCGGTGTTCAGGTACCAGTCATCCCCGCTCGCGGCCCCCTTGCTACCACCCATCCGTCCCAACACGCCACCCAGAAACCCGGATTCCGTCTCATCATGCGCACGCGGCCGAAGCTCCATGCAGCTGCGATATCAAGACAAGCTCTTCCCAGTAGCGGCCGAGGCTGTCCAAGATACGCGGAGCATGCTTGCAAGGAGCTTGGTCCTGATAAGCCTGTACTAGCATGCTTCTGGAAGGTGTGTGTTTGATTGGTAGACGCGAAAATGTCGCGTGTGGAACCAGTCCATGATGTCAATACTGCGGGTAGGTCACTCTTCCTGACTCAGGACAGTGCACGTGCGAAATTGGGCGTCGTGCTGTGCTGTGTCGATCGAGGTGAGATGGGATGGAAGTCACAAAGACGTTGCGCCAACGCAACGGTCGCGTAAGTTTGGCGACTGCGGGGAAATGCACGGGTGTGGCGTGCCACGCCGCACGTTGCCAGCTGAGGGCGAACCTCACATCACAATTTCGGCTATGCTGCTTCCATTCATTGAATCGTTATACATTTGGTATCTATCCGTACATCGAAGGTAGATGGGACAAGGAGAACGCGCTTCGCGCTACTTAGACCCTTCCGTCAAGACCCCGACGCCCGGTACCGTAGCCACCGCCTTGCGTGAGCTTGAGCAACTTGCCAAAATCAGGAGTGCCCAGACCGGTAACCGGGTCCCAGCCCTCCGTCGCGTTCCACGAGGCGTACGGAACGTACGGTGCTGGGAGCCCAGAGTAGATGCTTCTGCCAGTGCAACCTCTCGAACCACCTTGGGTGATGTCGGTGAATCCAGAGGCAGACTGGTAAAGCCAAGGGTTCAGGAAGCCCAAAGAGGGCTTGCCAGCAGACAGACGAGCGTTGTTCAAGAGGGCAACAACCGATGCGAAGGTTGGAGCGGACGCGCTTGTGCCACCGACCGAGATGAGCGCGCCCTTGTCTACAACGCGGTAGCTTGTACCCGCAGCAGCAACATCAGGAAAGCCACGACCCTGCGGGTTGTAGAGGCCCTCCCATTGGCTGCCGAGTTTCTCGAGGTACGCGGAGACTGCACTCTTTTGGTACGCAGGGGCCTTGTACAAGTCCGAAAAACCGCCTGAGGAGAAAGACACAGCCTTCTCAGGGTTGACACCAGTGGTTCCACCGACAGACGTGACGTATGGGCAGGCAGCCGGGAATATGGGCAGGAAACGGGTGGTGTTTTTGCCATCGTTGGTCTGGCACGCCGAGCCGACGCCGGTGTCACCGCTGGAGAAAATGACGGACACACCACGAGTACCCAGCTGTCCAATCAAGTCACAGACCTTCTTGTTGTACTCTGGTGGCACACTCTGTTCATCCTCGCCATAGGAGGTGGAGAGCACTTGCGGAAGCTTGTCGTCGGGCAAGTTGATGAGGTAGGTAAAGAGATCGAGGTAGGGCTCATTGTCGTTGTCATCTTGGGTGGGCTGGTCCAAGTCGGGAACCAGAAATCCGCGGCCCGCTGTGCTGTAGAAGTTGACATCCGCAGCGGGAGCCACGAGACCCAAGGTGTATTGAAGATCAAGATTAGCTTCGACACTAGAGTTGGTGGTACGTTGGTCAAGAAGACCACCTGCCTATTTGTTAGTACGAGTGTGATGATGGGCAAACGACAGACAAACCGCTAACGGAAGACCAAGTGAAGTTGCTCGCAGCAGCTTTGGGAGCGAAAGTGCTCGCGAACTGGGCCCAATCTTTGTAGCGAGCGTATTGCTCGAGGTACCCAGTTACACCCAACAAGACAGACGCGTTTCCAGGTGTGTAGTCGGCAAAGTTGTACAGGTCTTTCAGGCAGTCAGGGGTGATGGAGGTGGCGCACGTGGCATTCACCGCAGCAGTGGTGAAAGGAACCTCTTCCTGGTCGTGGATGTTGTTGCTTTGGGCGCGGAGTTGAGCAAAGCGGGTGGTGGGTTGAATCAAATCGATGTGCTCACGGACAGCCTTGGGTACGGAGTAGTGAAGCGTGCGGATCTTCTTCACATCAGGGCGGTTCACGTTCTGGTAGGACTTGAACTTGGTGTCCAACATGTCCTCTGCGGTAGCGACGGTGGCCAAAAAGTTGATCCATTCCCCGTCATCCACAATGTCCTCGGAGGGAATGCCCGAATCCTCCAACCAAGACAAGATGGCGTTGGTGGACTCAGCCCTTGGCTTGATCAATTGCTTCAACTCGTCCCGCTTGAGATGCTGCCCATAGCGGTAGTGACTAGGAGTCGAAATTTCCAGTAATGTTTGCTCGAACAGGTCATGGTTAGGCTGTGAAGGGGTCAGCCAAGAGAAACTGAAACAGGCGCAATCTGACACGGAGAACGCGGAACGTGCTATCAGGTAAACACAAGATTCGCATGTAAGCAGATGACACCATTGCACTCACCGAGTGGACAGCAATGCGGAACTGAAGCTTGCGGGTCTGCGCCGGCACGCCGACCTCCTTCCAGCCCTGGGGTACTCTGTGGAGGTTTTCTACCAGGACATCCTCGACGTGGGAGGTGGACTTGGCATGCACGCCGGCGAGCGCCAGCAGGCCTGTGAAGACTGCGTACTTCATTGTCGAGCGATGCAAAGCGATTGCACGACGTCGATCGAAGGGGAGCAACAGCCACGACTTGAAAGTTATGGACGAGAACCGAACTGCCAACGCAATGTCTCAGCGCACGACCTGGCTCCTGGGCGACTCGTCTTCGCAATGACGCAAAAGAGAGACGGTGGAGTCGCAGCGGCGGGCGCAGCTGGCATAGATATACTCGTTAGGCCCTTGGAGCATAGATAGACTCATCTCGAAAAAAGCAGGAGCTACCCCGGCCGACCAACAAGCACAACCGTCAAGCTCCAGGAGCAGGGCGCAAGGGGCAGGCGATCAGCGTGCCGAGCCTTGAGCACCTGGGCATTGTGTAACCTGGGTCCGCGATTAACGTGCGGCGCATGCCGTGATTGGGCCTGCTGTTTCGAGCATATTAAACGATGCATCGTCGCCACTGGGAGGGCTATCGGCACGGCGGCTGAATGCGGCAACTGCACGCCGCTCCCCATCCTGAGCTCGAGGCCGCGGGCAAGTCTTGCTGATCACCAACGTCCGGTGCGAAGACGAGCCCCGTATCGTGCGACAGGAGCCACCAGGAACGCGAGACATGGGCGAGGACGTCGGCTGGCGGCTCGTTCCACGGCGCCAGTGACGCCGGCCTGCAGCCAAGTACGCGATCACGTGGTGTCTTCAGCCCCACCCCTGTCGTGCTGTTTCAACGCCGCTCGATGGGGGAAGGCTCGCCTGATCCAACGTCCCTCCAGCATAGTGCTGCGGTGCTCACATCAATCTCGTCAACACCCAGATTGCGCCCAGCCCTCGGTTCAGCCGTGCTGTTACCAAATGCACTACGGTAACACTCCACCGATGGCCCTTCGACATCTCCAATCCTCCTCGTAATGCCGAACAGCTACTTTCCCCGTCCACTGTCCTGCTTCTACCGCCGGCCCTGTCTCAATGACACCTACACCATTATTTTGTGTGCAGGTGTAGCACATTGACAAACTCGATACGGTGTTGAACGTTTGGAACGGCCCAGATCTAGGGCCCTGCGGTGCTTGATTCTTCTACTTGTGCCGTGACACGGCATTCCCCAAATTCAAGGTTAGATTGTCGCACAGTCACGCTGCATGCCTCAGGAACCCGCAGGTGTGACATACGTGCTGTGCAACCTGCTTACGCCAGTCAGGCGGGTAGGGCGTGTCACCGAGTAGGCAGGATATGCATTCATAAAACCGATGCACTCGTAGACTGTCATCTACAGACTGGACCTTAGGACATTATGGAAATACACTAGACCGTGGGAGCCGTAATATCACATCGTTGAACATATAAGAGATGCCAATACTGACCTGTGGATGATACGTTATTTCCCAGTCAATCATTCCTGTCGGAGTGGCGACGAAAAGCTTGGACGATGGGGTCCAACAGCCCAGCATCGACAACAATGATGTGTTCGCAAGTCGTTTGGGGGCACGCATTGCATATCTCCGCTCATCACCGCCATGGACGACTTCCATTGGAAATCGTTCTGGCGATTTAAGCGCGAGATCCTGGAGTGATTGCTATCGAAATTCACGTACCAACGCGATTGCGGCAGTATTCGAAGTCATCTAGATCGGATCTGCACCTCCAACCATTTCCCTCGGCTGAAAACATCACTGCAGTATGAGTCCAGGCCACGCGCTACTTCAATCTTATCACAAGGACCTCATTTCGTATATCCGCCAGCTATCACTCTCAGATCGCCGGATTCTGAACAATGGCCATGCAGTCAGACTCTTCGGTGGCGGCGAATACATCACGCAGCTTCCACGAAAGCTGTTCCTAGCCGCGACAACCAACCCCCTCCTCATCGACGACCGTTCCGAGATTCGCCTGCCCCCCCGACACAAGACGCGAAGCCATTGTTTCTATAGGCTTCTACCTCCTTGCACTCACCATTTCGCCCAAGCCGTTCAAACTCCGCAGCAAGAACAACTTGGAGGAGCTGAAGGTTGCGCTGGAGTCCGAGGATCCCTTTGTCCGGCTCGTTGGTGAAAAGATCGCGGGGATCATTCGTGATGGGACAGCGAATGGGGTTGAAAAGCTCAAGGACTATGTCGTTGGCCAGCCATATCTGAAGAGCATAGTCGCTCGCGAGGACAAGAGACACTACGCTGTCATGGCGAGCCAGGGCAACAAAGCTAAGCGAATCGCTCGCCGAGAAGGAATCACAGAGAGCGAGGCGCAGCTGAGCCAGGCATTTGTAGCGGATAAGGACGTATCCGGCTCTGTCAAGCGCAACACGCTGGTTAAGAACGTTGAGCACATCAAGATGGCGCGGAAAGATAGCGCTAAGTGGGAGGAGAGAAGGACGGAAGAAGCAGCGCTAGGCAGCTCATTGCAAGAGAAGACGCGCGTAGGCAAGAAGGTAGCTGTTCTGAGGCTCGTCACCATGAGCGGATGAAGGGGAAGCGCTGTACATACAAGATCAGCGGCTAAACGACCTTTGGCGACGGATTGGAAGTATGCTGGGAGCAAAGATCGATACCTGATCAGAAAGCCACGGTGGTCGACGACAAAAAAGAAAATCCTGAGGCCGGACCCTACTGTAAACATACACGCCAATTTATTGAACGACAAGTTTATGGACGTACGGTAGACTGAGTTAATACAGTGACCCGTGCGCCTTATATTCCTATCTTCGTGTCGATCACTGTGAGCTGTAACGAGTTGACCCGAAGCTGAACGTACGCTTTGGTGTTTATCGGCACCTTTTCTTGTTTCAATGCTTCGCAGCGAAGCAATTACTTTCGCGGTGACCACAGAACAATCATCAAGTATGGTACTACCGCAGTTCCCAAGCACCGTATGGCCAATGGCCGCATCGACCCTTACAAAATCTAGTCCAGTTCAACGCCTCCAATTATTGCTGCCAGAAATCGTGACTTGGATAGGATGCACGACCTCCTGCTAGCTGGTGCTCATGTCAATGGACCCGCTGGAGATGGTCATCAGGGCGCGAACACCAACACCGACAGCTGGCGTCGCTACCACAACGACCTTGCCAAACGTCGTCTCCAACGTATCCTCGAGGATAGAGCTGACGCCCGTAGCAGGGCTACCCCGGCTCGCAACGCATGATCCAGATTAGAGTCCCCGAGGCATAGACCGAGGTTTATGAATTCAGGGTGAGACCAGCTCCTCCTATCCTGGAACAGATCATGTGCTTACGCGCTAGTCGCTGATTCTGGGACTGTCTTGATCTTCGAGGTGGCAAGATTTTGGGCCCAAGTATTGCCTTTCGAATGGTGCAGTGTGGTGGTTACGAGGAATAATTAGAGGATATGGGGAACGAAAGCATGTCAGCAGGTTCTGTCCACTTGGGACCGCTTTAATTCCTCAGTTCTCCATCAATGAAGGGGAAGTTACGACACGTTCAAAAAGCTACCGTGTTATATGGGCATGAATATTCTGGAGTTCATGAAGCAGTTGTCAGCCTGCTCAATTCATCCTCTGCGTTAGGGCAGACTATCGCAACACACAGTGATCGATACTAAAGATTGGAATCATTGAGACCCTACCGTGCGCATCTGCGCTGGCAGTTCATATTACAAGTTCCCAAACGTACAATAGTGTAGGTTGTGACAAGATGGGCCCGCCCTTCTTCCGATCTTTTGTGTCAGCCACTGTGCCAGTTTAGTGATAAAGCTCTTGAAGTTGATGTTTTCATGTTCTCCCCTCTATGCTACCATCTTCACCTGAACACTAAATGCTAAACCCTGTCGCATGACCGTCCGCCTCTAAGTGTCCCTCGAGAGACTACTTGTAGAACTGCGCGGCCTCTTCCTCGGTGACGTCGCTCGCGAAGCACCTCTTGCGGTCAATTAGTCCGTATTTGCTGCCCCTGATCATCCACCACATCTCCCTCCTATCACCACCTAGCTTCCCGCCAATCAGCTCACCCTTCAGATCCCTCGCAAACACGTTCCATATCTCCGGCTCCTCAAGCTCCGTCAGCTCATCCCTCATCACGCGCAAGGCCTCAAGCGCACGACCATAGGCGCTGTCGCCCACAGAACCACGAATGAGAGTGCGTATTTGGTCGGCCATCGCGTCAGCGGCTTCCTGAATGGCATCGAGATCGTCGGTAGCCGCGAGCGCTTGCTTGAAGGAGGGAACGAGGTTGTTCGCATCGATCTTGACGCGCTTGGGATTGCCAAGGAGGGCATCAATGTCAAGGCCGGAGAGCGGCTTGTCGCGGTCGGCGCGGGAGCGTTTGCCGCGGCCTTTGGTCTTCGGTGGGACTTTCTTCACGTCCGCGGCTTTCTTGAGTCTCTCGAGCTGGGATTCTGATTGCTGCAGGAGATCGGTGGGTGGTGCAGAAAATCGTGTGAGGATCTGCGGAGGGTCCGGCAGAGGGAGCGTCGGGTCTGAGTGCGTCGCCCGCCACCGAATAATCTGGTTTACCCGGTGTAGCAGGGGCGAGTATGTGTCTTCGATCTTGGCGTACTCCGTCGGTTCACCCTCATCATCCTTGTCGTACTCGGAGAGGTCCAGGGCATCGACGTAGTCGCTCATTGCCTGCGTGAGCTCTGCGTTGGGCAAATCTTTGTGTTCTGTGATGGTCTTGCCGGAAATCGTAAGTTTCTTGTCCAACGGAGGAAACTTGTAGCGGCGCACATCTTCCTCGAAGGGCAGCTCAGCTTCTACTAGAGCTTCATAGCTTGGCGTAATGTGAGGGGCCAGGACGACCAGGAGCGGTGCCTTGTCCTGCTTGACTACGATACGCGCGATAGCGTAGCACTCGGCCTCATATAGCGCATGAATGAAGGAAGACAATGCTAGCTGGGCTTGTGAGTTTGTCTTTTGCGAAACAACGAAATTCGTGCGTGACATGGGCATGAACCGTTCAAATTCTTCCGCCCTGATGAAGCCAACAATTTGCAACGACGGGTCATTCTCAAGCTTCACTACATTTGCATCTGATTCGCTGATGTGAACCGCTGTGCGTCCGTACTCGAAACCGCGCTCTAGATCATCCGACTCGACGTTCATCTTCTCGCCGGGTTCGTCGGGGTTGTCAACCTGGTATACACGCTGATTCCGTACAGCAGATAGTTGGCCGTCCATGGGCTGGTCATCGTCGCCGATCACGGTATTCGAGGATTGAATGCTAGCTCCCACGCCTCCCAAGTCTGTCCGCACAACGAACGAACTGGCGCTAGGGGGCTTGGCGACCGTGACACATGGATACCGTTCAACATCGATTGTGATCGTTGCGTCGTAAGTCTGCCCGTCCCCTAGAGTGAGAGTACCTCTATAGCTGGGTGTGGGGCGTGTGTCCTTGATGCGTGGGATCGCAAGCTGTTCGATGGCCTCCGCAAGAGTACCAAAGTTGCCATCGCACTGATCCACGAACTCCTTGAGTGTTGTCTCGTTGTCTTCCTGCGCAAGGTTAGCGTCGTAGTCCGACTCTGGCTGGCATTGTGACCTTTTGAGCGTCTTTGTCCTCTTCCTTGTACCCGCTTTCTGCGTCATCAAAGTCGACACCGCTGCAGACATCAGCGCGTGCACTGCAATTATCTGACAGTACTCACAGTAGAACTATTTCGACGGGCGGATCGTAATCTTTGAGCTTGCTTATAATCTGCGCCACATCACTGGTATCTATAGTGCCTCTGCCATCGGTGACGATGATTATTCTCCGATCGAACTTGAGTGGTTTGCCTGTTGTTCCGGTTGTGGCTGCATCAATCTGTTGAACTGCAACCGCGACGGCAGATAATACTGATATGATCAGTTCGACTTCCTCAAGCAGAAAAGCCACGCACTGTCCCCATTGTTTGTCGAGCTAGGCTTCACTTTTCCTTGCAGCCCTCGTATATCGGGAAGAAGCCACCTAAGAAGATCAGCGAGTGGACAGGTGAATGGTTCGTCACGTGGCTTACTTACTGCTTTAAGGGCGAAAACACAGTGATGTTCTCGTACCCGTCATCTACGGGCATGATCCCAGCAAGGTCACTGTCTATTGGATTGCCAGTCAGCAATAGATGCCGCCATGGTTCCGATCTTGGCAAATACCGTCTGTTCGAACCCCAATAACACTCATCAAAGCAGTCTTCCTTCCCGTAGCAACCTTTATTTAGTGAGCACCCGTATCTCAGAGTCAATCCATTTTCTTACGGTTGTGGTGATCTTGTCCCAAACATACTCCATCGCCCAATCAAGATCCGATACGTCCCTACCATGCCGCTTCTTGCCCATCGACGCGCCTAGGTCGAGGATGTACACAGTCGCCTCCTTAGTCGCCATTTTGAACGCGAAGGAAACAGCAAAGAAGATCTTTGAGGGATGGAAGATTGCTTGCGCGCGTCGACAGCGCTGATGTTGAGGCGAGGTTCAGGCAAACGTGCACGGACCAGAACGCGAGACACGCCGCAGCGCGGGCTCAGGTGACAACTATGCCAGGTTCGGAGGACTCAAACGGCTGCCTATGCCCAGCACGCTTCACTGCCTTGTCTTCACAAGCTGCTCCATAACGAAGCCGAAGCCACACATGACTACAGCCGCGCCGGTTGTGTTAGCGAAGAGAAGATCTAGTGCTTCGTTTACGCAGTCTCTCGTGATAATGTACAAACCAGCCATACAACTTCAGCCAACACACTAGAAACATGCAGTAGCCCGAGTTGCCCTAGGTTCAGGTACTGTTTTCGCACTCTTAGTAGAAATAGCCTAGGTCCCGTCTTTACACTGCCGTGAGAGGCAGTGGCTCCAGCTGCATCGGAGCCAAATGCTAAAATCCGCACCAAAATAAAGGTATGGATGGGAATAGTAGACTTTACTCTAAGAGACATGATGGAAAGATTTCGTATAGCAGTTAGCAACGGAAAACGCAGCAGGGGGCTGGCGGATCTATGTGTCCAAATTTGTCCTCAGCTCGGTGATTTCGCTGGGATTAGCATCGGCTTTCTCGGCTTTATCGCTAATTCCAACCAGCAAGCCCGCCCATTTTACTCGGTCTATCCTCCCCATCTCAGACTCTCATCACGCGGCTATTCATCCGGATCGATATTCCTAGTGAATTTCTTTAGGGTATTCGAGCCGACATCAGACCAGCGACCGGTTCGAATGGGCGATAAATTACCCGAGTTACACCATGCCGACGCAGACGGAACAGGCCCTGTTCGGAGACGGAGACCGGCACTTTCTTGCGTAGAGTGCAGGAAGCGCAAAGTCAAATGTGACCGTGCAAGACCTTGTGGCCCTTGTACGCGGATTCAATCGCCGACATGCACATACAGACCGCATCCGTGGAACAGTAAGCCTCTACGAATTCCAGCATCGTCTTATTGAGCCAACCATACATGAATCGGCAGATGAACGTGAATCACCGACAAGAAGACCGAGGCCGGTAGCAGCGACCTCAAGCGAGGCATCTGCACGCAATGACCCAAACTCGCCTGTGTCTGGACTGAGCAATGACAGTCAGATTGACTTAGAAAAGAAAGACGAAACAATCCAGCAGCTCGTTGATCGTGTGCGTCAACTGGAATCAACATTAGGGTCTTCGTCGAATCCTCTACCGTTGGAGCCTGACTCTCGAGTCGACCCTAACATCCACCAGTCCACTGCTGGTCACTTTGTGAAGTCCAAATTCTACGGGGAGAGTCATTGGATCAACGTGCTGGAACCTGTAGGTGTTCTATCATCTCACCCATAACGAAAACTTACCCTTGTAGTACGACGCACTTGGCAACTCTAATGTCACTGTCAACACGAGCACCAACAGGACGGAAGTGAACAAAGATTCCGAATTATACGTCACCATTGCGGAGTGCAAGCGCATAGCACGTGCGATAAAAGCTTCCCGGATCATGCAACCTTCCATACTGGCCGATGTTCAAGCGTATATTCCATCCCGGCACATCTGTGATCAGCTCGTCCAGGGCTATTTTCGGACTTTCGAGGGAGTTTTTAGGATTTTGCACGTCCCTTCCTTTATGAAGGAGTATCAAACGTTCTGGACAGATCCTGCTGCTGCTGCACCTTCGGTACTACTGAAGATACTTCTCGTGTGTGCTATTGGTGTAGTGTTCTACAATGGGCCAGAACAACCACGGCTACGGGCTGATTGCACCAAGTGGCTCCAAGCTGCAGAGTCTTGGCTTAGTGCTCCTCACGCAAAATCACGATTCAACATGGCGGGCACTCAGATCAACATATTGATACTGCTTGCTAGGGAAGTTTGCGCAGTTGATGGGGATCTAGTTTGTGAGTGAACACCAACATAGCCTGAACGTGTCTTCCCAGCGTTGGTCATAAGCTCTCCTCGCTTCGCTTAGACTCATTGGCAGAGCTGCATCTCATCCATTAGCTATTACTGACACTCAGCTTGTCGTAGGGGTGCCTGGGGGACGATTACTTCGAGGTGCCATGCATCTAGGCCTTCATCGTGACCCAAGTCACATCGGGAAGATGTCGGTATTTCATGCCGAGATGCGTCGCCGTCTTTGGGCTACTATATTGGAGATGACGGTACAGAGTTCCTTGGACATGGGTATGCCACCGATGATATCACCAGATGACTACGATACGCTTCCACCCAGCAACGTCAATGACGAAGAGCTTACGGAGGTTGGAACGGTTCCTCTTCAGCCGAAGCCACTCAAAGAGTTCACGCAATGCTCGATGCAGATTGCATTTTACGAGACTTTGCCCCTTCGCTTGGAGATCTGCCGCTTAATCAACTCTCTTCGATTCACGTTGTCGTACGACGAGGCGCTTAAACTCGGAGCCGAGATGCTTGCCTCCTGTCGCGAAAAGTTGATATTCCTACAGTCCTTTGTAGGCTCCTCTAGCCCACATGCCCCTAACATCTTCCAAGTCAAGCTATTCGACACACTCACGCGTCGGTTCTTTCTGTGTCTCCATCGACCATTCTATGTCCGTTCAGCGCACGACCCTAAGTTCTACTACTCTCGGAAAGTATGCTTGGACGCCTCGCTCATGATCGCTAGACCAACAGCGAATCCCGCCGAAGGTGATGAGGAAGATGACTGGGCTCGGCTGACATATCGATGTGTCGGCTTCATCAAGTCATGCTTTCTACATAGCCTCTCTACGATTTACTTCGAACTCACATCCCGACTTGAGGACGACCAGGACACTTTACTCACGGCACCTATCGCTATTTCGCCTGCCGCCTCGCACCCGCAGGTTCCGTTGGAGTTACAACCTTACTACAATGCCTTGGTCTTCGCGCGCTTCGCCACGGAAAAGCGCCTTCGCAATGGTGACGCAAACGGTAAAGGATATATCTGGTTCTGTGCTGCCCTGGCCCGAGTTGATGCGCTTCTGGCCCGGAATGACCCTGCTCTCGCCGTCCTAGCTGCTTCTAAAAAAGGGGTACACGATACCGCCGTTCTAATGAAGGAGGCTTATTTCGCAGAGTTTGGGGAAAATATTGATTTCTCGCAGCCGTATCCGTTTGCGGGAAAGGACCACGGAAGGGGCGAGGGCGCCGATGATGTCACGGGTATCCCGCGAAGTGTGGAGGAACACAACGAGCATGGTGGCAGTTTTGAAAGGGATGGAGCTGACTTTACACAAGACATGGATTGGGAGAGGTTGATGCGAGACGAGAGTCTCGACATCGGGTGGGGGGACGTTGGTGATCCACAAGGCTGGTTTGGTGGGTGAGCTCCTGTATACGAGGGAAAGGTTTCAGCTAACATACAATAGGCTGGGGCTGGGATGCGCCGATGTAGCAGAGGCCTGCAACAGTTTGGGCACCTTTAACTCTGCAAGAATGAATGCCTTGGGCATTTGAGGCACGGCATCATCTCGCCACCGAGCTGGCCTGTTGAGCTTTTTCCTTCATAGTGGGTGACAATACAGCTTGGACCTTCTAATACTCTGGAATCTCAGGATAGTCTGTCAGATAATGCTTTAATCACCGTATAGTGAGTCCGTTCAGGATAAGGGATGTGGCAGCCACTGTGGTCGGAAGTCATGGATGGCACGCATGCCTGAATGGTCGATGGCTCGCGATATGCAGTCAATACACATCGTGGCCAGCTCATGACTCCAGCCTGATCCCTCAATCTCGTTCACTACTCCAACTTTTCACTGGTTGCGCTGTTCCACTGGGGAACTATCCACCATTGAAAGAGGTGAGAGGCCCACGCCTAGTGGAAGGGTGCATCCGCGACATCTGCACTCTGATGGAAAGTGTACTTCCTCTCTTCTTGCTGAATCTTCTTACAAAACTCGATGACATTCCTGCGGAGCGCTTCGCGGGTGAATCGATCCTTGGACGCATCCCACTGCGCGTTTCCTGAGTCAAACGCGATTCACATGTTCACCGCATAGTTTAATTTACGCTTATTGAGTGATAAGTTACCGATGGTCTCTGCAATCCCGTACCTACTTATCGCAGTCAGGCGATTATTCTTGATATGCTCGCTCAACTGCTTGAGGGCATCGACGAAAGCTTTTAGCCATTGCGCCGGTGGAATCAGCTCCACATCTTCTTCACTGACCAAGGGTTTCTTCCGTCGATGAGCACATGAGGGGTGATGTCTCGGTCCACGAGTCTTGTCACAGGTACGATGCCTCCGTCCCAAGTGTCGGCCAGTTGGCCTGGATGGCTTGGATGGTCTTCGTTCGTCGCTTGAGTGGCTACTCGATGCGTCAGATTCAATTAAACTTCAATGATGCATCGTGGGATACGTACTTGAGCAATTGTGCGGTCGCTTGCGGATACATCGTTAATCTCGGGTGTGCTTTCTTTGTCATCTTCGGCAGGTCATGCGCGCTTCTGGCTCACCGAGAGCAATAAGAGGAACGCTTCTGACATGATGGAACAGATTTTATATGAAGATGCGACGCTGGTGTTGCGTTGGAGCAGAAAAAAGAGTCGCGAAGTGAGAGACGTGAAGTGAGGGACGCGAGAGAGCAAACGCTCGCTGACCAGGCAGCGGACCGCGCGCCTTCCTTCACTTCACGTGCAAACGGACTCGACTCGTTTCTAACCAGAGTTCATGTGTTTGCGTGCCATGTTACTGCCTAATTGGATGAGTGGCTCGCTCGCGCTCACTCACTAAGTGGTAATCTCTCGTTCAACTCTTTGGGTTTTGGATACTTAATGTATTTTCTTATTGCTCCCCTAGTTCATATAACTCAAGGAAACCTAGTAGCTGGTATAGTGGAGTCAGTCTGTGGACCGATCCGGAGTACTCAGTCTTGGGTTATATTTTTTGTCAAATTGCGTCTGTTCGATTCCGAGTTTTGACTATGTTAACTTCTTATCTTATCCCTTTTTTGGCTAAATATATCATAGATAAGGTTTGTGTGGTCTCCTACGCCGCATCGAAGTGTAATTATGTGACGAAGACGCGAGCCTTGGTCGCGAATTTTGCGCGTTTCTGGCATGGCAGAAACATCGCCTGTCCGATGTGCACCACCTTGGGAGCAGCACATGGGAAACACGATGAAGCGATGGAAGTCAAGGAAATAGGTATACGATATCATGCGTTCAAATATTGAGGGAGCAAATCGAATTTGACAAGGGGTGGTCGACACCATCCAGAAAACACCTATAGCGAATCTATCGTAATCGGTAGAAATATTTAAGTGCGCTCAGCCTTCCTCAATCATACATATCTCACAATGTCTAGAATTATACATCCACTCGTACAGCTCGCCTTACAGCCTACTGCCTGCTCTTCGCAAGCTCGCTTTGCGCCGCGCTCGTCGGACCACCCTTGACCCTCTCCCCACCTGTGATATTCTTCTCTCCCTCTGTGATATCATGCAAAGCCTCGCTCGTGATCGGCTCACCAAAGTGCTTCTGCGCCTGCGCAGTTGGGCCCCTCCTAACCGGGTCATCCTGTCCCGTAATCTGCTTCTCCTTCTCCGTGATCTTAGAGATTGTCTCGCTGTCTAGGATACCGGGTCCATGGTTGCCACGTGTTGAGCCAGATGCGCTGTTGCTTGTTGTCGCACCAGTTGCGTTACTCGCATTCGAAGAGGGCGATGCATTGTTATTCCTTGTTCCACCCGTTGCGGATAGGATCGACTGCGCAATGGAGGTCGGACCTCTAGATACGGGGCCTTCACGCTGAGTGATCTTGCGCTCACCCATTGTGATGTCGTGGACGACGTCCCTGGTGAGCGGCTGGTTGGCATGCTTCTGTGCTTGTGCTGTTGGGCCGCCTGGGACGGGCTCGTCATGATTTGTGAGCTCCTTCTCTGATATAGTGATGCGCGAGATGAAGTCTGAGTCGACTGTTGCGGCCATTGTGCGCGCAGTAGAGACGAACGTGCGGTTGTCATAGATTCTGAAAGAAATTGGTGCAGCGGAGCGCGAGGCGTTGCTCAGCCTGGTGGCGCGGAAGATGCTTGTGGCCATCTTGATGAAGAGATCTGGATTGGTAGAGATGATGTTCTATAAATGGTAGGTTTGATGAAGATGGGTGACAGCCTCGGAGTAATTAAGTTTGAAAGTGAGTGCTTAATTGGGACGAAGTAGTACTTTTAAGGTGGAGGAGTGCTGATATGGCGACCATCCCTTTTTATCACTGACGGGTATGCCACGTACGATCTCTCGATGGCAGCTTCAAACGCGATGCTTGACGCGCTTCATCCATGATGATGGTGGAGACAGTGATGTCAACGAATTGAAAGGCTAGATCAGATCATGCTAGTACCAGAACGGCTAGGCACCAGCGACTATCGCGACCTCCTACATCTTACAACAGCCTCCTAGACACCGCGCTTGTGTTTCGGCGGACTCCATTCTAGGCACAAATTATAATCACGTCACATGAGGCTCTATATGGTCTTCGGGTAAGTCTCCGAAATGTTCGGAGGCCATCATTTCGGAGTTTCACGGACTTAAGCTAAGAGCTCCGCTGGCATCATCGTGCCAGTGTGTCTACATTTAGTCTCACTTGAGGGTTAGTCGACAAACATGGACGTAGTGTAAACGCCGATGTGTGATTGCTAAAGAGGGGGGGCGAGGCATTGCCGGGTAGGGAGTATAAAGGCAGGCGCGTTTCGATCAAAACCCGCCCAGCAACGACAACACGAACCTCACGAACACACGTGACCACAGTAAGACCGTCAGACTAGAGTATTTCAACATCCAACTCAATCAGACCTGGCGTCAACCATGGCTTTCCCCGCACCACCCAAACCCACTTCAGTCCTCGGCCGCCACCGCATCCTTTCCCCCACCGCCGGCGCTCGCGTCTCGCCCCTCTGCCTTGGAGCTATGAACTTTGGTGACGCCTGGAAATCCGCCCTCGGAGAATGCACCAAAGACACCGCCTTCGCCATGCTCGACTATTTCTACAGCCAGGGCGGCAACTTCATCGACACGGCGGTCAACTATCAGTTCGGCGAGAGCGAGCAGTGGCTCGGCGAGTGGATGGAAGCACGCGGGCGGCGTGACGAGATGGTCATCGCGACGAAGTTCACTGGAGGCCAATATCCGCATCTGGGGGACAAGGTGATCCAGAGCAATTTCAGCGGGAACGGGAGTAAGAACATACACACGAGTGTCAAGAGGAGTTTGAAGAACTTGCGAACTGACTACATCGATCTTGTAAAGTTTCCCTTACCTGAATTGGAGAAAGGGGTGTCGTTTGCTGACGCAGATACAAGTACTACGTCCACCTCTACGACCACACAACCTCCGTCCCAGAACTCATGCACACCCTCAATACCCTCGTCTCTCAGCGCCTGGTCCTCTACCTTGGCATCAGCGACACCCCCGCCTGGCTCGTCGTCAAGTGTAACGACTACGCGCGCCAGCACGGTCTGCGCCCCTTCAGCGTATACCAGGGCCGCTGGGGCGCCGGCTGCCGCGACCTCGAGCGCGAGGTCATCCCCATGTGTCTCTCGGAGGGCATGGCCATTGCACCCTGGGGCGTGCTCGGAGGAGGCTCCTTTAAAAAGGCCGAGGACAAGGAGAAGGAAGGCACGCGCGCGCTGCCGGTAGGGTCGAAGTCGCGCGACGAGCAGGTCCGCAGCGTGCTGGAGAAGGTGGCGGAGAAGAAAGGAACGGGGGCGACGAGCGTGGCGCTTGCATACGTCTTGCACAAGGCGCCCTACGTGTTCCCCATCATCGGCGGGCGCAAGGTGGACTACCTAAGCCAGAACATCGAGGCGCTCAAGCTGCAGCTGGACGCCGAGGACATGGCGACGATCGACGCGGCGTACGGCTTCGAGATCGGCTTCCCGCATGACTTCCTCAGCGGCGGGAACAACATGGTGCTCGGGCCGGAGCACAATGCGTTCAACGGGCGGGGAGGATATTTCGATTACCCCGAGGGCGTGAAGCCAACGCGACCGCACGAGGGGCCGCTGGACAGGCAGGTAGCGAGCTTGCCATTCGCGCAGGCGAAGGCCAAGAAGGAAGGCGAAGAGAATTTCTGAGGCGTGGACGGTCGGAAAAGACGGTTGCGACGTGCGACGTGCTCGCTTTTGTGGAGGCGTTACGAACGTCCACGGATGCCGATGCAAATGTAGTGTATCCTATTAGCAAGTTCAGAATGCCATTCTACTGCAGAGAAAGGACGAAATTTCTCGCCAAAACGCAAGGGATCCAGTAACCTGTCATATCATCAGATTGTCGGCAGTTGACCCTGGGATTATTTGAGCTACGGTACGTAACTAGAATCGGGATATGCTACATTATCTCTGGTGTTAGTGGTATTGACAACTCCTCACGCATCGCCTTTGCCGAGGCCTCAAACCATCAATCATCGATTCACGACCCATTCTCGTATTTCGTAACAAACGCTAAATCCACTACCCTGCCACACCTCACGGATTCTGCAACGACTGCCCGGCCAGCCACGCCGAAAACTCCCTCGGATTCCTCGTCTGCATAAACACGGTCCCGGGCCCCGTGAACTTGCACACCAGCCCCTCGCCCGCCGTGACGTTCGATATGATGCCGCCCGACGCCACGCGCTCGAGCACGTACTTGCAGTTCCACGCCACGAGGTGGTGGTTGTCGATGTAGTATTTTTCGTCTTTTTGGAGCTGCGTCACTTGTTAGCAAGCACACCCCAAGTTCCCATTTCCAAGAGAAAGATGGACAAGGAGAAGACGTACATCCTTCCTTATAATCGCGCCAAAGCTGGTTACCCATAGAATCCCTTGTCCGCTGATCTTGTACACGAACAAGCCCTCGCCGGAGAAAATCGCCTTCCCGAGCCCCTGCGATTTGTATTCCGTCACGATGCCCTGCGTGCACGCGAGAAAGGCGTCTTTGCCGACGGACCACTGCTCGTGGCCGGCGAGCTTGATGATGGTGATGTCGCCGATGGAGGGCGGCGCGAGGAGCAGCTCGCCGGGCCCCGTGTAGGAGGACTTGCTCATGTCGCCGCCGACGAGGGCTTTCTTGAGGGAGAACTTGATGTTGCCTTTGAGGGTTATGGTCGGGGACATGGCGATCATGGCGCCTGGTATCACATGTTAGGGTATGCTCTCAATGCAGCCCTCCGGAAAGAAGCTATGTTGGTAGACATACCAGGCTTCGCAGTAAACGGCGCCCCAATTGCCAGCTGCACCGTCAAAATGGTGTTTGTATCCCTGTGGCTAACCCGATAGCTCCCGCCATTGAACGTGCCCACATCGTCTGTCTGCGTGCTCCCCGCGCCCGTGAACTGCGGCTGGCTGGGCATCTGCTGTACCTGCACCTGCGGCTGCTTTTCCTGCTGCTGGACATACTGCTGGCTCATCTGCTGCGGCGGCATGCCCGGATGCGGGCTCGGGCTTGGTGCACCATAGGGGGTCTGTTGTGGTGCGCCGCCAGGTGGGGGGTAGTGTTGTTGTTGCTGCTGCTGTGCGTGGTGGTCGGGCGGCGGGGAGAAGTGTTGTTGTTGCGCAGGTGGGGGCGGATAGTGCTGCTGCTGCTGCTGTTGCTGCTGCGCGGGGGGCGACGAGGGCGGCGGGGGGTAGGATTGGCCGCCTGGAGGTGGCGCGAAGTACTGCTGTGACTGGTCTAGGGGGCGTCAGGATGGAGTCGCATCAGAGGTATGGGCCGAGCGAGGTACACACCTGGTGGGGCGCCGTAGCCTCCCTTCTCGGGCGGTGCTGGGATGCTGTCAGCTCCTCTGCTTCCTACGTACACATGCGCATGGGATCCCCACTCACGCGGATAGTAATTCCCACCCGGCGGCGGGCTGCCTTGGAAACCCGACATGCTCAATCGGTAGTGTTGCGTCTCGCTGATGCCCTGCCAGAGGGTCGCGCGTGGTGCAAGGAACGGCGGGCACGCGATGAAGACACGCTAGAAGGCGAATAAAGAACGGGAGGTCAGAAAAGCGCTCCCACGCGCCGTCCCAGTGTCCCTCTAAGTATGGCTCCCCACGCGCGCGCATGTGCAGCTACTCCGCCTCGCTGCTGCCCAGCGCAGTGTTAGCGGGGTCTACTAAGCGCCGCGAGTGCCCCTCGCCTGCAGCCCGCCCAATCAGAACCCGCCCGCGGCCTCGTATTGCATCTAGCTGCGCGGCACAGGAGACGCCCGCGGTGCGAGCTTCTGGGCGCGAGGTGCTGGACATGTTGGACGACTTGGCGCGAGTGCAGGTGTTCTGCAGACGTTGGAATAAGCGTGAGGGACGGCCGGGCATGGCGTCCGACGTGATGCGGGGCTCAGGGTGCATATCCATTCTAGCGTACCCCGTCGACGGCCAATTTGCCCGGCACCTCTCCGCGTCCCATGCTTACATCTCGGGCAGCTTACCCATGCCTCGTCCTCATCCTCAACGTATCAGGCGCTGTCAGCTCGGGCGCCCTGGGCCTGCCGACGGGCGACTTGGCCATGAAGAGTCTACACCACAGCGGCTAATGCATGGCCTTGGGTTCGAACTTTGCGGCCTGGAAATGTCGAAACAAGACCATTGACGCCAGCTTCAGAGCTTGGCCCAATCCTACCGGGTCGGCACGTCGAAGACTCCACATTTGGTCAGCAGTACTGGTAGAATCAGTCAGATCGGAGAAGAGTTAGTCAAGTCGGAGAAGAATTAGTGACATCGGAGAAGTATTTGCTCACGCCGGCGAGGAACTCACTTCTATGCCGTATAAAGACGGAAGCCCGTCAACCCTCGATCATCCCCAACTTATCTCCATTACCCCGGGTCCTTCACCATGGCAGACCTCCGCACCGCCCTCCCAGCAACATGCGACGTCCTGGTCCCCACCCCAGACACAAAAGTAGATGAGCTCCTTCCCAACCGCTGGTCTCGCACCCTCATCTCCGCCCCCCATGCCATCGTAATCCCAACCACCATACCGGACATCGTCGCCACAATCAAATACGCTACTTCCCATGACCTAAAGCTCATTCCCAGCGGAGGTGCCAGAGGCTTCTTCGTGCCCATCACCCACGACGTCATCTACCTCGACCTCCGCCACTTCTCTTCTTTTCAACTCAACGAGGAGAAGAGGGAAGTCACTTTCGGCGGTGGCTGTATCTCTGGCCCACTACTGAAAGGTCTTGCGGAGAAAGGGTGGTACACTGGAACACCGAGCGGGAATGGTGTCGGCATGACGGGCGCTCTACTGGGCGGTCTGAATCATCCGCTTGTGGGGCTACATGGGATGGGTCGGGATATGGTAAAGAGCTTCACCATTGTGCCGTTTAGCATGCCTTATGGGGGAGAACTTGGGGCTGTGACTGTGACTCGAGACTCTGAGAACGAGGAGAAAAAACTGTTCGATGTATTGAGGGGCGCGGGCCATGGGATGGGTGTTGTGGTCAGCGCGACGATGGAGGCGCATCCGCTTGCAGGCCTGGAGCTGGAAGGGCGTGACAAGGTGTGGCAGCGTACGCTGGCCTTCCCGCCCAACGCCATCGACGCCGCAGGCGATGCGTATTTGGCTCTCCACACCCACGCCCCGCCCAATTTGAGCTTTTTCATTGGCTTCATGCGCGCGCCACCGAATGCCCCCCGTCCCGGAGCGCCTGTCATCCTCCTCGCTGTATCTTTCTTTGGACCTGTTGCAACAGCAGAGATAGCCACATCCATCACCTTCTCCGACGCCGTGCTTTCGAAAACCGTAAACGCCACCACGACACTGACACCGTTCGGCGACATCCACAACGCGCTCGATCCACTCAATGCTCCCGGCGGGTATAAAGAGCTCCACGGCGCGTCCGTCAAGTCTATCCGCGCGTCCAGCCTGACCCGCGCCTTCGCATCGTTCCTGTCTTACACTGACGGCAGGCCCGAGCTGTTTGGAACCGCGGTCATTTTCCCAGCATCGAACACCGCGAAGTCCGAGTCTCTAGCTGCGAAAGAAGACTTCTACAACCCGCGCGATCGCGGAATATTTGTGCAGGTCAAGACTTCGTGCCCGGCTGCCGACGACAAAGACGAGGCTGATGCGTTTGCTAAGTCCGTACATGAGATCGCGCGGGAGGAAGATAGGAAAGCTGGAAGAAGGGACTGGGGTTTTGCGAATAACATGGTTGAGGGCATGGACCTGAAGGACGTGTATACCCCCGAGCAAATCGGCGAAATCGCCCGAGTGGCCAGTTTCTGGAATAAGGGCGGCGTGGGGTGGTGTCCGACCGCGGCGGCGTGGCGGTGGTACACGTGGAGTAGGGAGAACGGCGGGAAGCCCGGGACAATTCTGCAGGCTTTGGTGGATGAGGTGGGTCCGTGAGGATTGACAATTTCGCGTGTGTCGGAGAGAAGGTACAATAGTAGTACGATGAGGTGCCCAAGGAAAAATACTTGAAACGGTACTTCATGTTGATGAGCATAGCATCGTATGTGTGCCAGGTAGCCGCCTCGACTTCGCCGTTCAAGCGCTCTGCAACCTCGAGCTTGCCCGCGCAGGCGAACACTAATGGTTCATCGCCAAGGAGATGGTACAATTCATCGCGATACGATAAGATTAGTGGGGCATCGAGCTTGTCGCCATTGTGATCAATATAATTCGGCCATGTAAAGTGCACGTGCCGCTATTTGCCAACCCCATACCTTCGATCCGCCACATTTGTGTTTTAGCAACAACAGACGTTCTCCAGGTGGAAGGACTTTAGCAAGTAGTACGTTTGCTGTGCTGCGACAGCGATCTCAGGTGTGATTTGTTGATGACGCAAGAGATTGTCTGGTGGCTAAACGCTGATTTCTGCATATGAGCATGAGATCGGATCGTCTTGAACTAGGTTGTAAGACAATATGTGAATCTGCAAATCCTTGGGTGATCAGTTCTATCCGCGTGAGAAGGCTGCGATGAGTGGCAAAGCGAGCACAATAGTCGATGCCTGGCTTGCTGTGATGGTAGCCGGTGACTGTGTCGAAATGGAAGTCTCTTCAAGGAAGATGGGTATGCCGTGGTCGTATTTAAAAGTCGCAGTGGCGCTTTGTTTCGGTTTCAGAGGACTGGTTATATAGACAGGGTCGTTGCCAAACAGATACTAGGGTGTCGAAGAACTTGGGCGAGGGACTGGAGGATAGTGCCAATGGTTCGCGGACGGGTGAGTGTACACATGAGACATTGTTTCCTACTTCGGTGCATATTTGGTACTATAATGAGCCTACCCTGAAAGTGAGTGAAACTCGGTTATACGAATCTTGAAGACAACTCACACGTGCGGTGGTATCCCCAAGCTCAAGCTGGATGAGCCCTGGGTGTAGCTTAAGGATTGTAGTGAAGCGAGTATCGACTTTGCTTGTCGATCTAGGACCTAAACCTAGGCACTTGAGATGTTGCGAAGGAACAACCATGATATTGACCTATTCTCTCTGTGTCCAAAGTAGTGTCAGCAATCTCGAATTTAGGTCCAGGAAGCCAGTGTACGGGGCAAGGGAGCCTGGACGGTTGTGTTGTTGCACGCGGTGAGGCCGGAGCGCGCTAGCACCGCGCTCACCTGACTCCGCGTGCTCTCCCCGCTCCTAGAAGGAATGGTCTGAAACAGGACGCGATTCATGGCGTCATAACCGGCAATGCTCAACACTCGACCCTCAACACTTCCCTCATTTCGCATCGTGCCCACCCGGCAATCCACAGTAGTGTACTATAATCCTCACATCTTTCGCAGGGAGCAGGCGAAACGAAGTCCGTTTTGCCAAGTCAAGATGGCTGCACTTGAAAACCGCACTGCAGACCAAAATCTCGCGCTGGATGATGCCATACTGGATGTACAGCTCGAGAATATGCCGATGACGGAAAGCTGCGATGTTGTCCGGTACGCGCTGCCACTGTAGACTCTTTGACGAGTGCTTTGCCATGTAGATCTGCTGACTTGCATGCAGCCGCAAGATCCGCACTTTCCTCGACTCAGGCGAGATGAAAGTTGGCGAATTCCAAGATGCTATCAATGTCACTGGCAATGCGTACTCACGCTTCATGGGTCAGAATGGCCCATACAAGGGAATGGGGAGCTCAGTATACGACGCGGCATGGGTCTTCTTCAAGAAGCGGGAGATGAAGGGGATCAAGATGCCTAAGAAGACTGCAGCAAGTATGGGAGGTGCATCGAGTAGTAGTGTGCCTAGTGTCGAGAGTATTGTGTTGGATTTTGAGAGAGAAGAGAAGGTTCCCATATTCGGTATGAACCCGCGCAGAGTCTCCCCGCGCCCTATCCTAATGGAACTACAGATACATGCGACGACATCAGGCGCAAGATCAACGCGCATCTCAAGCTCCCAGGCGTGACGCAAGCATCCTTCCTGCACAACGTCGGGGCGCAATACCACCCTGCGCGTCGTGTACAATCCAGCCAGCTGAGCGCTTTCCGTTCCAAGAAGGGACCGTTTGCTGGCAACACCTCGGTGATGTTTTATGGCGCGTACGTGTACTTTGAGAAGCTGAGGATCAAACAGAACAAGCCAAAAGGGAAGAAACGCGAGGAGATGGAAAGGCTACATGGTCCATATGGCGGTATTGATCACGATAGGCCCAGGCGCAGCTATTTAGCATTAGCAGGCTCATCTGTGACCGAGGATCAGTACGGAAGGGTCCATATCTCTGGACCAAGGGAAAGTGGTGTGTTTCCGCGTCGTTGATTGGGTTCGCAGTGAATTGATATGTATATGTACAGGTTGGACATGTGCATTGGTGTATTCAAGCTTCCAGTATTCACAAAACTCTGAGATATCGTCCGTACGCCATAACGCCGTGCCGTGTGATGCAATCCAATGAGGCGGCCTTGTTGATGTTATATGGATGCGGCAGCCTCGACCGCGCCGGCAGCCTTGAACGAGGTCGGATTTGTGACGACGATCTCGACGGGGTATTTCCAAGTCATAAACTTTGCCCATCCTGTTCATAATCAGCCATCACGTTCTGTCCACTTCTCCTTCAGGCCTCCAGGTGATGCGGATGAGTCTGGACCAGACTTGGTGCTTCTTTCGTTTCCAGTCGTGCACTCACCCCAGTATGCAGCTTTCCGCCCGAAGTACTTCCCCACGTAGGGAACCAGCACCATAGTCAACAGCAACTCAATTTGTTGCAGCGACTCCCTCCATTCTCGCTCCGCATCCGACACGTATTCGTCATCATCGACCGAGGAGCCGGTGGTGGAGGAGGGCAGCGAGTTGACCTCGTCACCGGAATCGCTAGGCGGCGGCTCGAAGAAACTCTGACTGTTCGACAGGGACATGGCGGCGGTTGCAGGCGATCGGCAGGGCGGATACGGGCTATCGTGTAAGCATTGGCAGGGGTGTCGAGCTGCTGGTGATGGAAGTTGCGGGCGGCTTCTCGGTTGCGCTGCCATCGCATTGCGTCGGTGGCAGCGCAGCCAATCAGCAGCCGAATCCACCTGAGTCACGGCTTAGGTAAGTATGACTCCGTCCACCGATGCGCTGCGGCAAAAAGAACATCCCACCCCACGGCGGTGTGTGCACTCCACTACAACGTCCGACACGACTACAGAACGCAGCTACCACGACAAGGAATCCAGCTTTCACTGCTGCAGACGTCTCCGCAACCGCAATCATGGCTGATGTACGTCACGAGCCTGCCCCGCGCACCCTCGAATTCTCCACTTCACACATCAACCCCACGAACACCTCTCCCGCATTAAGCGCACGCTTTGCGACTGCTGCAAGCGACACAAACGCCCAGAGCGCAGCTGACACGCCCCATCAGGTAGAATCCGCCGAGCGGAAACCCCGCAAATCCGTTGCTTTCGAAAACAACACCACCATCGTCGACAGCGACGGCCAGGTCACAGAATCCGCCGCCATGAACGGTGACAAGGAGAGCGCAGCGTCGCACACCGCGGGTACGTCTCTCAAACGTGACGATTCCGCGAACAACGATGCTGACGCACACATGGCAGGCGAGGACAAGGCAGTCGACGAGGTGACCGACATGTTCGCCGGCCTCAACAAAAAGAAGAAGAAGAAGCCCAAGACCGAGACCGAGGGTGACGACGCCGAGGACGTGCTTTCTGGCCTCAAGAAGAAGAAGAAGAGCAAGAAGCCCAAGGCGGACACGGACGACTTCGAGGCACAGCTCGCGGCCAAGGTGGGCGACGAGAAGGAGGAGGACAAAGAGGAGCCCGAAGAAGAGCAGATCGAAGAGGGCGACATGATGAAGGGCACCGGCATCTGGGCGCACGACCAGACCAAGGAGATCCCCTACAATATGCTGCTCAACCGCTTCTTCACCCTGCTGCACTCGCAGCACCCCGACCTCGCCTCGTCGGGCTCAAAGAGCTACAAGATCCCGCCCCCGCAGTGTCTGCGCGAAGGCAACAAGAAGACCATCTTCGCCAACATCAGCGAGATCTGCAAGCGCATGAAGCGTACAGACGAGCACGGTATGTATCTCCTCTCTCTCTCTTCCTCTTCGCGACCATTTCTGACATGTTCTTAGTCACACAATTCTTGTTCGCTGAATTGGGTACCTCCGGTTCCGTCGACGGTTCGCGCCGCCTTGTCATCAAGGGTCGCTTCCAGCAGAAGCAAATCGAGAACGTTCTCCGTCGCTACATCGTCGAATACGTCTCCTGCAAGACGTGCCGCTCGCCCGACTCCGACCTCACGAAGGGAGAGAACCGTCTCTACTTCGTCACCTGCAACTCGTGCGGTTCGCGACGATCCGTTTCGGCCATCAAGACTGGTTTCTCGGCCCAGGTCGGCAAGCGAAGGAGACAGCAGGGTTAGATGGTTGGCTGATGTTTTTGGGCATTTCCGTGTTTTGTTTCTGGGGCTCGATTGGCTGGCCAGGTTACATTCGGGGGTGCTATCATGCGAACGTGCTCAATGTGTGACGTGGATTTGGGCTTAGGGTTTTCCTGGGAGACGATAAAATGGGCATAACAGCCACTGGTTGGGTTCATTAGGAGGCACATGCTGTTTTCATGTACCTACAGCAAGCACGAAAAATAGAAACGCGTTGACGTGGCAATAGTTCCTTTCTTCTGCGGGTTTCGTGATTGGGTGCTCAGCTTTATAATACCAAGAACGCTGATTTGTGTCCAATCACTATAGAAACTCCACGCATTATGAAGTCAAACAGATCTTTGCGCCTTTGACTAGAGCACCACATTACTACCAAAACAATCGGCACATACAATTTAGGCGCTGGCGAAGCAAGCAACAAGCCGAAAACGTAAAAGCTCACCGCCGATGGAGGTAATGTTCAGCACCTAAGTTTTACGTAGCCATGAGAACCATCGCGAACAAACAAGCATATACAGGTACAGGAAGGCGCGCCAGCAGGTCCTTGTCGTTCTCGGTGTAGGACGGGTCTTGCGCGAGTATAGTGATCTGCTCCTGCAGCGGCTTTCCCAGCTCCTCGTAGAGACGGGAGAGCTCTTTGGCGATCGAACCAACCGCGATGTGCTGCATCATAGAGTCGGGGCTCCGGCGTAAGCTGCCATGGCCAATGCATATGATATTGGTGATCTGCGCGGCGTTCGAAAGGACCATCTTGCGCAGGCTCCGGAACACGTATTTCTGCTCGACACTGTCATCCCACAGCGCCATAATCTGTGCGAGACGCGTGACGACGTGATCTATGTCGTAGTCCTTTATTTCTCGCGCGTCAGTGAAGTGGATATACGCAGCGAAGTTGGAGCGTTCGTCTACTCTTACAACTTGTCATGTACAGTTATTTCCCCCGGTCCGATGCAGCTTCCCATCATACCGGATTCACTTGTTCGATATGAAGTAATTTAACTCTCGAGGTCTGTAAGCGGAGAAACATCAATGCATCCTCATCATGGCGCTAGAGAAGAGATCTCGTATCTTCCTAAGCTCTCAAACTACAGGAAGATGCTAACATCCACTCATCAGGTTGTAGACGCCTGTGTTCAATCAAAGGTGAATGCAGCCAACGAAGTGCGTAATTCCAGACATACTCACTAAGATACCTGAGTCACTTGATGTTGAATTATGTTCATTAAACAGCCACAAACAGCGCAGCCACAGCGTCAGATGATCATTCTGGCCTCGCCCTTCAGTCTTTGAAAGGCTGAGAGACATGAACTAGCTTTAGCCTCACCGTGAACAAGTATTCACGAGCCTGATCTTCGTGGATGGGTCCAAGGTCCGAATGCATTGGGAGGTTGGTACTTTCCAGATGGGATATGTATCCGTACCGGCGAGAATAACAGCAGCAACAAGAAACGCCTAGTTTGCGATATTTCATGTGTATCAAGTCTTCCCACTCGTACAAACACATGAACTGCTCCCTAGTATTGATATGAGGAAGACCGCCGTGTTTCTACAGCATTACACCTTGAGTATCGCAAATGAAAATCAGACCACCCCTCCATATACAATCGCAATTCGCTCGCCGGCCAGTTAAAGCTATCGTCGTTGCTCCGCTAATAGGCTGTGTGGCTTAGGTAGAGGATCTAGCCACGTTCAAGATGCCAGGATAAGAGGTGGCCGAATGTCTTGCAACATCATTCAGACTTATGTGACTGGGGTTGGGGCAGGAAGCCGGAAGACTACGCGTTTCCGAAACTCCCTTTTCAAGGCAGCCCCACGTTTTACAGTATTTGCAGTCGTCAATGCAGTCCCACTCAACTTTAAAACAACCGCTCCGACGCATTCGAGCACCAGGACCATTTAAGGCTCTGGCGCTTCTTTGAGTGTAATCAGGGACTCGGATGTCCATGATTATCCGGAGATGTCTAGGTTCGAGAATCCGCACTTGCCCATGGCCAAGTTCCCGAGAAACCGCAGACCTTCATACCCCAGCGCATTGCGCTCACAAAGGAATTGGTCCGCTGCACATAGTAGGGACTGATGGGAGCGAACAGTGCAGTGCTGACGGGCACGAGAGTGGAGGCCTTTGGTGTTGGCACCTGGAAGGGACCCGACGCGACTTCACCTTGAAAGCACAGTCGAATGACAAGAGGGCATCGTTCCGTCATAGATCGGTCGCTACTCGGGAATCGTTCGGACTCGAAGTTGATCTTGTACAGTGTCTCTACTGTCGTAATCAAGCAAAGAAATGATATAGACTGAGAGCACTTACAGAGATTGAGTTGCGAAACCTTATCTTTTTGCATAGTACTAAAGCCCTAGCACATTTACCCTTGGTAGCAAAACTACCTGAGGGTTGTTGAAAGCCTGAAAATATCGTCAGTTGTCTATTACGCGGCATGCGGGATGTCGGCCGCGGCGAACGGTAAACCTCTAGGCGTATATTTCATAGCTCTGGAACCTTGAATAGATCAACTTCGTTGTATCACTTCAACTTCTACAGTAACGACTGAGCTGCTACGTAGCTTACGAAAAGTCAGGCCAGGAGAAAGGAACATGGCTTGAAAAGGGATCCGCGCTTGCTTGAACATGACGTATCCTTAGTTCCCTCTGCAATGACTCTCCCCTTCACGTGGACAAAGCATATGTACCTTGCCCTCTCCATCCCTCCAGTACCGGTATCGAAGGGAATAGAGCCCAGGGCATCGTGTATCCAACCATCACCATCATCACATTCACGACCATGACACAACACACCACGCAATCCAAACCATGCACCAGACGAGAAATGCCATTGAAAACCCAGGGTATCGCTCATATGAAATCCAGTCCAGCTCAAGCCCACAAAACGCAATGCCACGCTATGAAATGACCTACAAAGCCCTCACACTGCCCACGTCCCCGTTGACGAAGCCCGCGCCGCCATTAGGCACAGTGTCGCTGTTGAGCGCCGCGTCCTTCGCCTCGCGCTTCTCATGCTCATGCGGGGAATCAAAGCGCCACCTCTTCTTCTTCGCGCCTTTCTCTTTATACCTTTCCAGCGCAACGGGCGCAGTCTCAGCTCGCGGAACATCAGGCCCAGCCTCCACCTCTACGTCCCCATCCGCAGGCTTCACAGGCTGCGTCCGTGCCTTGCTGAGTCCCTCCTCCCTCGCCTTCTCCCGCTCCGCCTGCATACTCTTCCTCTCCTTCCTCGGCACGGGCGTGCCATCCTTCATCTTCGGCTGCCCCAGCAGCGCCGCCTGGATCCCGCTCCGCGTGTGTTTCCTCTCCTCGCGAATCTGCGGCTGCAACATCTTCCACTGCGTGCTCACCTGCTTCTCAACGTCCCATCTCTTGGCCTTTTCCGCTCTCCGCTCCTCAGCACGCTGCTTTGTAGCACCCGCTTTTGACGCCCGGTCGGATGCATGTGCGAGCCCAGCGACTTCCTTGCGGCCCTGCAGAATGCGCGCGCGCCGGATGAAGTGCGTGGGCTGGTATTTCTTGAGATATTCCTCGTCGCAGCCCTTGAGAAGATATGCGCCAGGCCCAACAAGCGCACATACATCCTTGAGGATAAACCCACCAAACCCAATCCCCAGCCCCCGGGCGAATCCCATCGCGCCGCCCTCCTTCGCGCCGCGGATAGGCTGCATCCAGAGCCCGCTCACGCCGTCGCGAATCCCGTACACGAGCTCGTCGCGGCCTGCGCGGATGCCTGAATGTACGCCTGTGATGCGCGGGATCCGGCGCACGGTGGTGTCGCCGTAGAGGCGGGGTGCATTGTGGAAGCCCTGCGCGAGCGCGAGGTGGATGCGCATTGGGAAGCGAAGGATGGCGCCGCCGGTTTTGCGGAGGCCGGTTTCGGCTTCGCGGGCAAACTCTACGGCGAGGATGTCGTCTGGCTCCGTTATGTTTGATAGGTACGATTCTTGCCTTTCACTGGGCTTGGGTCTGCTCGTTTGGAGGGCGCCATTCGTATCTCCGTTGGTGCATTGGGGAACAGTGTTCACGCCGTCCTTGGTAGCATGGTCTTCCGAACTCTTTGCTTCATCGTACTCTTTGTTCGCGCGGTCGAGGGTGGCCTGTTGGTGTTGCCGCTGTTTGTGGCGCTTGTGGACCTTATACTTCTTTTCGTAGTACCGCTCCCTCGTTTTTACGCTCTTTGCCATGTTGTATGGCACACCGCCCATTCCCATAGCGACCTCTCCCACCGTGTCGACGATTGCGCCCCAGATACCGGTGACCGGCTCGCCTGGACCCCCAAAGTCGTTCCACTCGTACTGCCTCAACAGCCTGAGCTCATTCCACTTGATCTTCTTCCACTCAACCAACAGCTCCGCAGCTACTGGGCACAGACGAATAGAGGTGTTCTTCAGTCGCCACGCAGCAGCATTATTTGGAAGAAGCGAGCAGCGCATGGTGCCTCCTTCGCTCAAAGGCAAGCTGCGGTGGAAGGAACGCACAGCATTGAGGGCGCCATCACCTTCTTTGTCGATACTGTCTGCGATCTTCTGCACGTTCTGCTTCGCCTCATCCGTCAAACATTGCTTTATGCCCTCAGCCAAACGTTCCGCCGTGAGCTGTTTGTAGGGAATACAATCGTGTGCTCCAGCTTTCGCTTTAGACACCATAGCCCCCCAGAACGGTTGGTCGCCGAAGAATGGCACGATCATTGTCGGTTTGGCGCATTTCAAGCCGATGGCGGTAGTGCCGGCACCGCCGTGATGCACTACTGCAGATACCTTTGGAAACAACCAATCGTGTGGGGTGTTTTCAAGCATGAAAATGTTGTCCGGTGCTGACGAGTTGTGACCGAAGCCGCCCCATCCCTTGGATACAAGGGCGCGGACACCAGCTATCTCGACGGCTTTGAAGATGAGCTTGGTGAATTCATCAGGGTCGTCGACAACGATAGATCCGAAGCCAATGTAAACCGGTGGCTCGCCCGCATCGAGGAACCTCTGGAGATCTTCCGGCGGTTTGAACGAGGATGCTAGGTCGAGGAAAACAAAACCTGCTATATCGATTTCTGGACCCCAATCCTTAGGCTTAGGAACAAGACCCGGTGACCACTACCTAAGTGTTAGCTGAGTCACCTTTGGGTTGAATGCAACGTACCATGTATGTGTAGGGCACCTTCATGCGAAACAACTGTCCTGGAGCCCAGAGCGTGCTCACCTCGTCCAGATGCAGCGTTCTGCTCCTAAAACGATTGATCAGATCACCAAGACCTTGCCAGGTCATCATCTCCACCAGCGGGTAGCTCATAAAGTTAGTGTACTTAGCATCGACATTGCTATTTTGGATGTTCGCTAGCGGGTGTGGGAACTGGACAGTTGGTGTGTAAGGGAAGCTTGGCATAGGTCAGCGGAAACGTTCTGGTATCATGGAGAACTGTGGGGCATGTAGTCTTACGTGAACATCATGTGCAGAGGCACGCCCAGCCGCTCGGCGATGTGAGGTGGTGCAAAGCTTGGTGGGTTGGCAATGATGGCGTCGCAAATGAATGGATGGGCACCACCCACTGCGCTACGATTAGATCTTGTTTTGAAAATGCCGTCTTCCGTCAACTCACTCATTTTAAGATTAGCATGGTCGTTCTCGTCATCAGTCGCATTGATGCAGGCTCGCCACATGCCTTCGAACATCTCAAACATGGCGGCTCGTCTCCTCCCAATCTCACCCTCCCTGACCGTCTCCAAATTGGGAATCAAGCCTGGGTTCTTCACCATGAAGGCCATCAGTTCGGAGGGATCTCCTCCAATGGAGAAGAACTCCAAACCAGTATCGTTCTCGATAAAGGACTTGAAAGCAGGGTGGGTGGCTATGCGAACACGGTGGCCATAGTCCTCCTTTAGGATTTTCCCTATCCGCAGAAACGGTTGGATGTCTCCACGAGAACCAATAACAATGATTACAATATTGAGGCGGACTCGTCGCTGGGGGTCCTCCATAGGATCGTCATCGGGCGCAATCTTGGCGTGGGAGACTGGGGCATGGGCGCCATTTTGGAGCTCCTCAGCACCGGCGAAATGCTTCTTCAGCCCGGCACCCAGCGTCTTCGCAAAGTATCCGCTGTTCAACGTCTCGCCAATCGACAACTTCAACCGTCCGTCTTTTCTAGAGACTTTGCCCTTCGTATGGAAATGATCGTTGCTGAACTTGAGTTTTGAGAATGGACGAGAGCTCGACGTCTTCCGGCGGTTCGTTCGTGTTCCGCTGAGCCGCCTCCCGGCTGGGTCATCCTGGTCAGAATCGCTCGACGAGTCTGAGTCGGAATCGTAGGGATCGAAGGTCAACGTTTTCGGCCTATGCATATGCAGAGTCATATCCTGCGCGGTTCCTGCCCGCTTCAGCTCTTGGTGTGTCTTCACCACAGGCTGTGGACGCTCGGTCGCGGATTTCTGCATCGACGGTCGCGAGGAGCTTTCTTCTACAGAATGCCTCGGAGGCGGCGGTGTGGCTGATCGCGGAGTGGGCAGGTGGGCGGCGTGTATCGAACCCGTCTTGTCGGGCGCTGGGCACAACGGTGCGAAGTCGGTCGCAGCAGGCACGGTGCCATGTTGCCGGCCGTTCCGCTCCACTGGCGGCGAAGGAAACTCCGGTTCGTGAAGATGGACCGCGGTGGGCAGTGGCGGCGATTGAGTTTGGCCGTAGGAAGCCATGACGGCCTCGATGCGTTGTGTAGCAAGCGATGTAGAATAGGGTCCAACTGTGGGTATCACGCAATGATGCAATGCTTTACATGCAAAAAGAATGGGACATGGGAATCAGTATGGGGAATTTCGAAATATGGCAGCAGCAGCGATGCAGAACCCAGTGGCAGACGGCGCACAGGCAAATTGTCGCGCGACGTCAACAGAGGTTCCGTCACCGACGCGCTGTCCAGTCGCCAACAGCACTTTCAGGATGGCACCCATGCCGATTCCCGCCTTAGCTCCCGCAAAACGTCCGAGCGTGGCCATGTGACGTCACCCCCAAGCAGAGCGTCGCCCGAACGACTCTCGCCATTTCCTATTCTGGATGTCCATGTCGAAGTCTTCTCGAAATAGTCTCTTGAGCGCGCGTCTGGGCACGGCGATGCGAGACGATGCTCCACCAGCGCGATCGACGGCAAGGACCGCTGACGCTTCGGCGCGTTCGAGAAGCGTGTAGCGTGCACCTCTCACGAGCCGCCTCCAACCCCAAAGAGCCTGTGGCCTGCGAGCTTCACAACGTCGGTGATCCAGCCGTACCATCCACGCGCTTGCTCGACGGCATTCAGTATCTTGACGACCCGTCGACCAAAGGCATCCACCTCTTCCCAGTCGTCGGCGTACGGCTCCCAGAGCGCCGTCTCGGTCGAACCCTCGGTCCCTTTTGTGACTAGCTTGAACTCGCCAGTGTCGTCCTGCTTGACCGTCACCTTCGGCCCAACAACGATACCGCGACCGACGATGCGCGTGTCGGCTACTAATCTTGTAGCTGCCTCCACAACGTCCTCGACCTTGCCCATGGCGCCTCCTGCAAGCAACAACTTTGCCACTGGAGGCACAATGGCCGTGTCGATGAAGTAGGGCAGGACGATGTTGACCCGGATGCCCTCCATGTGCGAGGTTGCTCTTAGAGAACGAAACAGTCCGAGAACGGCGTGCTTGCTCGTCCCGTAGAGCGGCGCTGCTGCAATCGGGGCCAAACTCGCTACGCTGCCCAGCAGTATGAGACTTCTATCTCTTCTTTGCTTGTCTGGCACTGAGTTCATGTTACAGGGCTTAGACCCGGGGTTCTTGGGCAACCAGTAATATGCTAGATGCGTCGTGTACAGCACGCCCGTGACGTTCACATCCATGGTCGCGAAATTGGGCGATTGAGGTTCGGCTGCGCTGAGGTCTCCGGGCTCCTGTAGTCTATCCTTTGCCTGGATGCCGGCATTCGCGACGACCGTGTCAATGCCACCGTGAGGACTCAACCTTACCGCCTCTTTGAAGAGGTTGACCTGGGACTGCCAGTCTGTTACATCGCAGTGAACAAAATGGGCAGCGCTCTCGCGTCCCGTCTCTTTCCGGATGGCTTTGGCAAGTGCATCGCCCTTTTCGACGTTGACGTCCCCAATGACCACCACAGCCCCGTTCGTTGCCCATCTCCGCACGAACCCTGCTCCGAAGCCGCTGGCGCCTCCAGTGACGACGATGGTTCTGTCTTTGACCCAAGTGTCCTCAAACGGGATGGAAAAGTCAAGTGGAGGTGACTGCTTTATGTAGGCGCTGAGGCCAGTGAGGCCGGTCGAACTCGTGGCCATGACGGTACGGAGGATGAGGTGTGATGCAAGCAGATGTCGTGTCTTTAAAGGCCAAACTGACTACGGCCGTATTCCAAGCCACTGTTCGCTTGCAATGGCAAGTGCGGGTCGTGCCAGTTGGAAGGAGCTCGCTCTCTGCGGAGAATGCCTCCAGTGGTGCGTCGCTTTCGAGCTGATCCGCTTTGACCCCAAATCAAGGGTGAACAACGATACACTGCGACACTTTCGTCGGATGCGTGCTCGAGTACAAAGACTTGCTCAGTCCCGACGCCGTGCTCGGGGACTAGTCAGCCGATCTGCAGGGTTTTGAGTTCCCGATCGTCGACCCCGCCAACCTAGCCCCGCCAACCCAGCCCTGCGCCTTGCGAAGCTTTTCAAAAATCTCCCTTCCAGCTCTCATTTTGTTCCAATTGCACTCCCACGGTGCCGGTCGCGCTTGCCAACCCCGCAATGGCGCATTCCAGCCCCAGCCACCTCATCGCGACGCTCTTCTACAAGTCCAACCAGCCCCACTTCTTCCCGCACCCCGACGCTTCACCACGGTCGCCTACCGATGCGCTCGCACCTGCCTCGCTCGAAGCACTGAGGGATGGCGCGGCTCCCACAGACAACCTGGACGCATACCCGCTAGAACCCCCCACGCCCGGTCCCAACCCGCTCGATCACCTCTACGGCAGCTACATTAGCCAGTCATGCCTGACCGACTTCTTTGTGCTGCTGCGCAACATAATCCCCGGCATACAGGAATCGGCTATCACATCCAGGCAACTCTCTGAAGAGAAGCTGGCGAGGGTGGTAGAGGTACGCTTTCCAGCCGCGGGCGCCGACCTGGAAACACTGCGACGCAACGAGCTGGTTAGTCGCTTTGAGCGCGAATGGAACCTCGAAATTGTCTGGCAGGCAGATACCGTGCATAGGCGGTACAAGCGCCTCGCAGTCTTCGATATGGACTCGACACTCATCCAGCAAGAAGTCATTGACCTAATCGCCGCCCTCATCGGTGTCGAAGACCAGGTCTCTGCTATTACTGCAGCGGCTATGAACGGCGAGCTGGACTTTGAGGCAAGTCTGCGGGCAAGGTGCAAGCTGCTCAAGGGAGTGCCGAGCAGTGTGTGGGAGACGCTGAAGCTGTGCATCACACTGAATGAGGGCGTCTCGGAGCTCATTACTGCGCTGAAGCGCTTGGGCTTCAAGACTGCAGTCCTTAGTGGAGGCTTCACGCCGTTGACCGGGTGGATGGGACAGAAGCTGGGCCTGGACTATGCATTCGCAAACCATCTAGTCGTCTCCGATGACGGAAAGGAACTCACTGGCGAGTTGACCGGCGAAATCGTCCACGCGGAGAAGAAGCGCCAGCACGTCCTAGAGATTGCTGAGAAAGAGGGCATACTGCTGGATCAGGTTGTCTGTATCGGGGACGGCGCCAATGATCTCCCTATGATGGGTGTCGCGGGCTTGGGTGTCGCGTTCCACGCGAAGCCCAAGGTGCAAATGCAGGCTCCAGCACGGCTCAACTCGAAGAGCATGCTGGATGTTCTGTACCTCTTTGGCATATCGAAGGAAGAGCAGGAGATCCTGTTGGATAACACGCAGCTAGCTTAATATTCTGTACCGTCTTGCTCCTACCAGCTGGCCCACCCTCAACAAGAAGACGAAAGTCTCAAGCGGAAGGTCGAGGAGCTTGACGATACAAACCAGAACCTTGACAGGCGCCTCCAACACCACGTCGACACTCTCGTTAGATCGGGCGGTTAAATGAACGATAGCGTTGCGACGTTTATTGACTGTATCCCCATACATATAGAGATTATACCCAACATGTCGATTTTGTTCACTTTTAATCCTTTCTTGTTTCTCGCATGGCCTTTTGGCATTAAACTGACTGTATGCACCACAATACCTTATCACACTGAATTCAATTCTTGTCTGAGGCATAAAATGGCCACATAGCGAACCAACGTATTGTCAAACTTCCTTTAGAAATCGCGGCTTCGCCCGGAGCGGTGCATCAACAAAGCCATTTCGGTTCCCTTTTGCATGCCGTGGAGACACTTTCTAAGTAATCTCTGTTTATCATTAACAGTCGATGTTCGGATATTGTTTCTAGCCCCAGATAGCCCGAAGTGTATTTATTACAACTACTACTCCACACAACAGTATCGTCGCCACTAGCTTTCGGACAAAGCTATCAAGTGCGTTCAGAGCCCCACTCCATCAATACGAGCCCACCCGCATTTTTTTTTTTTTCACACAGTGCGATACGCGAACAATTCTAGACCCGCATTCACGAGCCAGAAGCAACCAACATGAGCTTGAAAGTGTTGATCGCTCTATCGGTAACAATGGAAAGCTAAGAGTGGGTCCCATCAATAGTTTGACATCTCCGCATCTACGCTTAGAATGTCGGACATGCAGCAGGAGCAGTCCGACCGGTCCCAAAAGGTTCCCTCCTCGGATCGCTCGCCACCGCAAGCGCGACACAATTCGCGAGTTCAGACTGCGAGATTCGATATAAGCCGCCAAGTTCATGAGCCGAGTCAAGCCTTTCCCTCGGACGTGCTCGCGCGATTACTTACCACCAGTTCGGAAGCTCCGAGTCATACTCGTGAATACCCAGCTTTGCTCATGTATGGGCGGCCTGCCAATCACGCACCATCAGTTTCGCATGACTAAACATTTGGACGTCAGGATCAACATTTACTATCAGCCCTAGAAAATTGTGGAGGCAACGGCTTTACGACTTGCAGCGCCGGTAGTGTTAGAATAAGCACTTGCTTGGCGGGCGATCATCGATTGGCGTAACTTCAACGATACCATTTTGACCGCGAAAAAACCCCACCACGTCAAACCTATCGATAGAGATGCTCTACCTTCCGTCTCGGTAACATCCGTCGTTTGGTTCGCCCTGAAGCTACCCAAGAGCTATCGCGACCATTCACCAGTCTTGTCTGAATGGAATGAACCTCACCTAGTGCTTTATCTAAGCCTCCCCCATCACGGTTGTACCAAAGAGTGCTTCGGTTCGGATACATCTCCGGCTGCAAGCGAACGCCACATCAACAGCTGACATCTCTATCTCATGAACTAGTGCAGATGTTCAGCGATGCACTATGCGTCAGGCACTTCTCAACTTCGCCAGGTCACAGAGGGGCCGGAATTAGCACCTCAAAGCTTGATAGCTTAGGCTAACCCGAGTAAAGAGAGTCTTTCCTACACAGTGAGATATAAGACGAAGGGCTGACACGGATTCTGCTCCGCAACGCAGCGCATTCTGCAACCACTTTCGTACACTTTTCATTGTTGATTTCGTTCTTTCTGTGACAAAACGTCAGAATGCTTTTCCAAAGCGCCATTCTGTTTACGCTGGGCGCCGCGGCCGCTGCAGGTGGTGGCGGAAGATCAAGCACCTCCTCATCCTCAAGCTCTTCCTCCTCCGGCAGCTCCTCCTCTACCGACTGCTCCACCTGGTCCAGAGTCGCCTCCGACCTAGGCACCACCTTCCAAGGCTGCGGCCCAGCCGCCCGTGGCGCCATCCGTGCCCCCTTCCACGACTGCATCAACAATGGCTGCGACGGTTCGCTCATCCTAGGCGATGAATGCGGCCGCTCTGAAAACGCTGGTCTCACAGCAACCTGTGCGCTCCTGGCTGAAAAGGCAAAGCAGTACAGCGTCGGCACCGCAGACATGATCCAGTTTGCCGCCGCCGTCGCCATCGCCGTGTGCCCTCTCGGGCCCCGCGTAAAGGCACTCGTAGGACGCACAGACAGCAGCACGCCCGCGGAGGAGGGTCAGGTGCCTGCCACTAAGGACCCCATCGACAGCATCTTAGGCAAGTTTGCGGCTGTCGGCATGAGCGCGAACGATGTGGTTGCGCTGGTGGGCTCGCACACTGCTGGCACCCAGTCGTTTGACGATCCGAGCCAGGCGGGTAAGGCGCTAGACAGCACGCCGAGCAAGTGGGATGTCAAGTTCTACAGTGAGACAAAGGCGGGGACCGCGCCGTATAGCTTCTCGAGTGATAGGCGGATGACGAATGATTCTTCGGTATGCTGCTTTGCCCCCTTTGCTTTAGCCTACTACCAGGATAGATACTAATTATATGAACAGACCGAGGGCTCGTGGAACCGCTTTGCACACAGTCAGGGAGCTTGGGCTTCGGCGTTCACGAGTGCATGGGATAGGTTCGTCGTCGTCGGGAACGATGTCGATAGCTTGAACGACTGCTCCAGCTCGTTGCCTGGCTCGTCGAGAAGGAGAGCCGAGGGCATGAGCAGGCCGATGGGAGCCGGTGCTTTTCATTGAGTAGCTTGCGCGCGTACAATGTAAATACCATAGGTACGACCATGATACAAAAGTAATGTGAAATAATTTGCAGGGTGTTGAACCCTTCGTGTGGGCAGCGGAGATCGTAGCGGAAGCTTCTTCACATTTACTCTTCTCATCTGCTTTATTCCTGATATAACCCTCGAAAGCGTGGTACCACACTGTTCGCGGAGCGACGCGGACCGCGTACTCTACTAGCCGAAACCAGTTTAGCGCGGTCCGCTGCGATGCTTCTGAGTGAATGGGCGAACGTTGTGAGCGACATCACCCAGCGGTCCAGGACAGCGAATGATATGTCTTCAAATTATTTGCGAGAAGTTTTTCTGACAAGCTTCTAGTCCAAACGGTGTCAGATCTTTCAATTTAGCTGAGAGTGGTACCCTTTCCACCTTCAAATGTTGAAACTCTTGTCGCTTCGTTGCAAATCGTTGCGTCCTGGACCTCAGAATCCTTTCATGAGTCCCATTAGCTCATCTTATGATCTAGTAAGGATTCCAGGCAGAATTCGCGTAACTTTCTGATCGAGAATTGTGGATGCTACAGTGGATGAGATAATCCGGCCAATGAAGACTTACGCTAGATGTTTGTCTGTACTTCATAACAATGCTATATCTTAATTCATCATCTCAGCTTATCTTGTTCAGAGCCAGGAATCTCAAACTATGGGCGTCTGGAATGTGGATACACGATGATTTCTTTGAGCAGGCTGTTGAACGCGATGAAACTCCTAGAAGTCCCGTCAGCCCGCTTTTCACGACGGTGGCGAGTGGAAGTTTTACTATGCCAGCGATACCTATTCACAGTATTTCAAGTCTCTATTAGCTTTCCCAGCGGCGATATGGATGTAGCTCTCCAAACTTCCCTAACTCCCAAGCACACCAGGCAGGTCAACCCCTCAGCCGTCCAAGATGGCCTTCCCTCCAGTTGACCAGCCTATGCCTCCCCATCTCTCCCCCTTCCTCCGCGGCTGGACCTCCGTCCCCGCCGAACTCCGCATGAAGATCCTTTCCCAAATCCTTATCATCCCCCGCAATTCCTTCAAAGGCTCTCATCACCGTCTCGGACTGCATCTCTCCCCCGCGCTCTTCCAAGACTAATGACCTTTCAGGCCGCTTCATGCACCTTGCACTGCCCTCCTCGCCTGCACTTATAAAGACGCTGTGTTCGACATGAAGCAAGCCGCGCTCGAGATGTGGTACGGCGAGAACACTTTCCGTCTCGGCGGCATTGGCTTTGGATGTGGCGAAAACCTGGCGTACCCATATATGGTGCCGAACCACAACGCGTTCGCGCATCTGCAGCATGTTCAGGTGCATGTTCGGGGCGACCATGCGGGTTGGGCGGATCTGGCAAAGTACTGCGAGACTACAAAGTCCATGTTGAGGTTGATTGCCTTTGAGGTGGAGTTTGTGCGGCTGGCTCACCCCGACGCGAAGTCGAAGTCGCTACAGGACGCGTTCGCGGAGGTGGGCCCGCTGGAAGTGCACGCGGAGAAGTTCGTCCTCGAGTATTATGGAAAGAGTGAGTTGCTAAGTCCGGCTCGGGCGCTGGTTGTGGCAGATCGGATGGACTACCGTGAGATGGTGGGTGTGTTTGAGAAGATCAGTATTGCGAGTGGGGGAAAGGTGGTGAAGGAGGCGGTGCAACGGTTTTGGTATGATTGTAAGACGCGCGTGGATGTGGATGAGATTTGGCAGCTTCCGCCAAACTCGATTTACCCTTAGCAGAAGCATGTTGTTAGAACGCAATGGTATTAGGCGTGGAGACCGCAGAATATCTTTGAGTTCAATCGTTTCTTGAAAATCTTCAGGAGCGCAAACATTGGTAAACTCTCTGAATCGGATAAAGGTATCGTAATAGATATTCAGTATGTCGCCATGAGCACCATGAAGAGTCAATCGTATCATGAACCTTGGGAATAGATCTAGTAGATAGCACGCGGTTCAAGGTAGAGTAGTCGCGGCTTCGCACGAACAACAATTGTCATGCACAAGACTTTTCAATCCACTGAAATTATACAGAACGTTCGAATGCGGTTACCCGCATATCCCTCAATGACGACATGACAATCCTTTAGCAGACGTTTGCTTTCCGTAGAGGTGACATGAGCTCATCTGCTTTCCTCAAGAGCAAAGCACCCCCAGGGACTTCGAAATAGAACGGTTACAATAATATCTGTAGGATTGAACAATAGAATGGTTCAGGCGTGAGTTCAGCGCGAAACGGACATAGTTGTGCACGCCTCACAGGTCTGTGCGACTCTAATCAGGGAATTGAGAATTCGAGAGTCTCCCGCATTGCAAGCGTCGGTGTCCCTGGCTGTCCCGGATTTCACTGACCAAGATCAAAGTGATTCCCAGCGGTCTCTGTTCTGGAAACGGTATATGCGGATGGTATTGACAATTTCCGCAATCTTTCCGTTGACCGGAATACTGCGGCAGCAACGTCAAATCCGATTGCGTTGCGATTCATGATTGGTCATACGGAAGTGTTCTGCATGTAATATTCGGGCTGGAATCCTATGTTCGAGCGCAAGGCCATCAGAGTCTAGCCTCTGATGGTTGCGGAGGGCTCCCATAGATACATCTCACCTAATATGAGCCCAAAGTGTTCCCGTGCGCATTCCACTGAGCTTCCTTCGGTACCATTGGATGACGGGCTTGGGCTAGAAGCCTCCAGAGTTCCAGTACACAGTACATTGCCTGGATATTGCCAAGCTCGTTCACCAAGGCAGTGCAAAGCAGACGGCGGCTGGCGTCGTACCCCACGCGGTCGACCGGCTGACAGAACATCTTAATGTATGATCAAGGTGTGCAAGCCAAGCCTGCAGCAAGGGTAGCTCTTGCACTTTGTTGAAATGGGGAAAGGCGTACGCTAGTCTTGATCGGGCGAGCGTTCCGTACATTCACCGGCGTTGGTCGTTCCACCACCGTGTGGCATCTCTGCAGCTCGGACTGCATCGATATATTTCATCTCTACATTGTGCAGAACGATGCATATATTCGCGGGGAGCTCGGTGTGCCAAGGCTTATAACCGAAAACAGCTAGCTCTGAGCGTTTCTCGCCAAGAATAAGCCCGCGTTAACTCAGTCCTGCCACACAGCACGCATGTTCGATGAAATTCTATTGTCGCTAAGATCCTTCTAATTCCATACAAACCCATATTATCTGTCTGTGTGGTTAATTTCGTATACTACTTGAGCAGTATACCTACCTATGCAATCCATCCGTCTGCATGTGTATGTGCTCGTGAGGACGTCCGAGTGACTGCGCCAGGTTGAAAAATGGTTTCTACGAGCAGGATTGAACTCAGAAGCTGAAGCGATGATTACCATATTGAAACAATAGAAAATCACGTGCATTAGCACCTTAAAGCTGTACTCACTTTCGCACTATCATGAGCCTACATGGATGACCAATTCAGATGCCGCGAAGATGGTGTACCGTGCGCATATATCTCGGTGCTTACGCGCTAACATATAGTGGGAATATGCTACGTAGGCAGTTCAAATAGAATGCTTCTGCGCCAAGTGACAGGGGCAGCAAAGCTTATGCTGCGCGATACATCAAATGTTCCATGTTTCCAGACATTCCTCCAGGGATGTTTATTGCCATCCGATTCCGTCTCGTTTTGGGCCACATCTGGGAGTGTTGGAAGCTTAGAAGATGCTCGTACACGCGGCTACTGGGATTTCGGTGGAACGCCTCACGCGAAGTCTTTTGTGGAGACATGTGCTCCATGCGGTGAATCGCTCCGCAACCCCGTACCGAAAACGCAAAGACCTCCGATGCCTTAGAAGAGTCTGCAGACGCCATCTGCAAGCGAGCACTGCGTGAAGGCTTGGGGCCAACTCTACAACTAACTTGCTGGATGTAGGTGCTTGCTTACGCGGGGCAGGAGTTGTTACAAGAAGACGGCAGTCTATAGTACTACCCATCCGGTCTTCGGTCAAACAAGCGTTTCTCGTCAAGCATCCTCTCATACTGAACTCTCGCACAATGAAGCTTGCTCTCTCTATCTCGCTGGTTGCTGCTGCTCTGTCCTTCGAGGCAGTGGCACTACCAAACAAATACTCAGAGCCACATCCATTCTTCGACAAGAGAGGCATGCCAGCGCGCTTTGAAGTCACGAGTCACGAGACTATCAATGGCGTCAAATCCACAACCGTCCAGAACAAAAATATGTCTGCGCTCTACGGTATATCTCAAGCTCCTCTTCTGATGACCGCTCTCTGATAGAGACCTTTGTAGAGATTCCCGACGATCTAAAGAACTGGCCTTGGTGGTGCAGCGAAGACCGAAGCTATTGTAACGCTGATTGGGCTCCCACAGTGGGTGAGGGGAATGCACTCGCACAGTGGTACGAGACACCTGCACGTTGCTCTGACTTACACTAAATTTTAATCCGTGTGTAGGCTGGAGGACAGGGGAGATGCGGACTGTACCATCCAGCGACCTCAGAATTCGAACATAGATGGATACACGGCATACGTGCAAGTCAACAATCATGCTAAAGCAGGCATGTTCTTCACACATTTTGGAGACACAGATCGTGCATGGAAGGGTACGTTTCAATCCGAACATCCGCTCCGCACCTTTTCAGACATGTACTGACTATGTACACACAGCGACATTTCCCTGCTTGCAGCTCGGATACATCATGCGTTCGTTGATAGAGGCTTGCCAGTGTAATGGAAGGGTCGTTGGTATGTCCAGAGTGCTCAAGCAACTCTTACCACTTTGCTAACAGCCACCAGGGTCAACTCCACTGCCAAACTGCTGGATCAAGTCTATGAGCTTCACTGGCGACCAAAACAGCCCACCTGGCGGAGGCAATGCTTATCCAGGAGCTGGAGTCGGGATCGCCCCATACCCCTGAACATATCTAGCAGCAACATGAAGCGTGAACAAGGTGATGGCGAAAACGGACATAGCTTGCCACTCCTAGAGTCGGATGACCAGCCCACATTCAATACAATAATGTTCATCCTGATCGTGTCATGTGTTCAGCCTCTTTCATAGTGATTTTCATTCACCTAATCTCAGTTTGAAGTTGTCTGCACCGCTGCTCAAGATGAACAACATCTTTTTTAATTCCATAATGAACGCATCTCTATGTTTCAACAAGCGCTGAAGCGGGACTGATCAATGAAAAACTCATGCAGAACTAAGTCGTGCCGAGTTGCAAGCTGTAGTACAATTAGATGTATTATCCGTCCATACCACTCAGAGGTAGCACCTGTGTAAGGGTTTTATTCCAAGGCTGCACAGCCAAAGTTTAACATCTAGGCACCCAGTGCCAAGTATAGGCTTTCCGAAATACACTTAGATACATTGATTTACATGTCTCTACTACCTCTAGAACGGCATTTTTTGGTAACCGCAACCGTATAGGGTATGAGAATACGGCATGGATGGAACTTGATAGAGGAGTGTAAGAGTTGGTTTACTTATGCCATTTTTCGAACTGAACAACTCCCATCAATTCGCAAACGCTTCCTCTGGCACCAAAAGACCCTTTTGCATGGAAGTCCGCTTGTCGCGACTCCAGTCTTCTATCTGACTCCAGTCTGCGCATGTGCGCTGTGACTTCGAATGCAAGTCCAAAAATTCTGAATTGTTATTCTTCGGCCATGTAAAGGTATAAAGACTCAAGTCGCCTGTACACATAACAGATAGCCTCAAAACCTCAACACAATGATCTTGGGAGCATGTTAGTCTTTGAAGACGTCAAGAATGATCTCTAGCTTACCTAGGTGCCGATACCAATACTCCATATCTTCTTGCAGCCACGTCTGTTGTGTCTTATGGCTATATAGGAAATATCGCATTTTGTTCTACGAAGCATCAGCTGGGAGACGGCGTGGTTATTCGGACAAGGCAACTCACTAAGCAATGGAGCTCATGATGAACACCCAGAGCTGCTAAATAGCCCCCTCCTTTTACCTGGATATTTGTGTCTGCATTTCCACCTTCTGTGATTACTTCGTCCTTCGTAGCGTTAAAATATAGGTCTGCAGATGAGCATTAGATCAAGTGATTTCCATTTACTTGATTGGCACTTGCCTTGAAGAAGTGTCTTCCACGCGACCGCGTTTTCATTGCTAGGCGGTCCTGAATATGTGGTGTAGGACGTGAAGCTCGTCGCATGCACATCGCTTGTCATGCTTCTCAAGTGCGATCGAAGTGTTTGCACTGCCATGCATTAACCACAGTAGTATTTTTTCGGCGCACAAAACATACGTCTTGTCATAGGAACAACTGAGATGTTAGTGTGCCGAAGCAAAGAGACGAGCAGAGCAACATGTAAAGCAACGACGTATATTGCAAAAAGAATAGAAAGTATTCTTCGATGCGCACTGGAAGTTGGTAATTTTTCTCTCCCTAACGTCTCTTCCGGGAGTTCTGGGAGGAGCTTCTCCTCCTCTTCGATCATACCTGCGGTACGCATCGTGGTGTCGCTAGAATTTCGCTTCAATTCGAGAGCGTTTGAGAGAGGTACTGCACAACTGTGCTGCTTTCGGCATGCGGTATCCGGTGTCTGCCATCTGCCAACCACTCGTTATCCCTGTATAGGTATATGCAGGCAATATTGGCGCGTGGCCAAGTCACTAGGGTTACGGGTTGCCTCACATACGCAGTGACGCTAAGGAGCCCTGCTGCATGTAAGCTGATGTTTGTAGATGATGTTTTCAGCCTTGTGGACTTGCAAGTTCGTTTAGATGCGGGATCTCGCTTAGATGCGCAACTTGCAGGATCATATGGAGCATGTACCCAAAGCAGCCGATCTCATTTAAGCGTGGCGTTCTTGGCCCCAGTTACTCTGTCCCATCCATTTGACTCTTTACTGGGCTGTATCTCAACGATTAACTGCATCGATAGCTCAGTGCCTTCACAATAGCATACACTTCAGTCGTCTTGCAACTGCGCATCTTTCAGAAGCCACTATGCACCGATTCTTCACCACACTTGGTATTTTCTTCGCTCTGGCGATGTTCGCGAAAGCGTTTCCAGTAGCAAGTCCAAGTACGTTCGATCTCAGTCATAAAAAAAGAGAGGAAAGCTGTACTGATTTCGTGACAACAGGACTTGTGGAGGTCAGCGTCCCAAGAGAATGCGATGAAGGAGATAAGGTTCTGAAGAGTATGTATTGCGAAAACAGAATAATCGAGCATTCGCTCAAAGTTTTAAGGAAGCAAGTACGACGTCATCATTGGGAGCTTCGATATCTTCCAGATTGCCGCTCCATGCTATGGTTTTAAGAAGAACTAAAGTACACTACACACACGAGATAATGTGTGAGCTAGGGTAGAGTCGTAACTATGATAATGCATAGCATTAAACCACAGTGTCTTCTTGGAACTATATTACTGAAGATCAAAAACATGGTATATTTTTACTCGTCCATTGCCTGTTTCAATTGTGGTGATGTCCAGATGTTATCGCGGAGCAGTGATTTGAATCCGATAGTACAAAGACAACTTAGCACGCAATATCACTAGGTCGCATTAAATCCAGGCTTCAACTGCGTTCCTATGGAAAAAAGCCTTGTAGCCGGGCTGAATGTGGGGCGCACAAAATGCTGTGCTCGCGATGGCCTGGCCCGTATTGCCAAGGTCGGAATGTATTACAGGCATCTTACCCAAAAAGAATCGTCTCTGCACGCGCATAATCTTTGCAAGTCACATATGCTTCGCTGGAACCCTCTGTACTTCAAGAGGTGATGCATACGATTCTGGCATGTAAGCCTTTCTGGTGGTCTAAAACCAGTACGCGGGGTTGCAGGCATTGGCTTTGGCAGGGGTAAAAGGGTTGCGAGGACAGGCTAATCATCCGTTCAACCAGCTTGGCAAGTAGGCTCGTCGACAAGCATGAGAACTAAGCACCAGTCCGATTTATTAACTATCTTGGCACCTGGGGTCGGGCACTGGTTCGGACGTAGGATGCGAATGTACCTAAGATACCGGGGGCGACAAGATGGGAGCGGTCAGCAGGCCATAGCTCATCCGCATGGCATCGCATGTTATCCGGCATCTTCCAGTGCGCTCTCTGTCGGGCTCCAAAATCTGACATAGCCCCACACGTATTAGCTTAGTATCTTGCCTAAGCGCCGTCCTCAACCCAAGCCCATCTGCTCCAGATTTGGGAATCTTTGCAGCGTGGCCGGCCGGGATGGCGGACAACAAAGGTGGGCGGAGATTGGCCAATCCTGTGTTGTGCATGAGCGTGTACTCAGAAAGGTTCCGTGGCGGGGGCGAAGCACTCCTACGTTTGGAATACTGGGACGATACACGAGCTATGGTATGATATAAGGAGAAGATCGGCTTTATCACTCCCAATCTTCTGGTTCAGACAACCTTGCCTTGTTACACTGAAGCAGTGGTCTCAGTCACTCTCTATCTGATACCCCTAGTCGATTCTTGGTACACACTCTGTCGCAAACATGATTATCCACGCACCCTCAGTTCCCACCATCATTGGAGTGCTAAGCTTTCTGCTCTTCCTCAACGTGGCAGGCGTATTTTTACGCTTTTACGCTCGACGAGGCCTAGGTCAGAGACTACAGGTCGATGACTGGCTTATGATTCCAGCCATAATTGGTACCTTTGGTTGCGCCGCATGTTTGTTCCACGGTATGCAAGACACCCTTCGTTCTTTTCACAGTGCTCACATGAGATAGGCATTCGAAGAGGATCGATGGGTTATCGATTTATGCCCATCGTAGACCCTTCAGCAGATGCTTCTACGCTGGAGTCTCGGTCGGACCCCTACGCAAGAGATTGGGTAATTGTAGAAACTCGCTTGGTAAGACAAAACGAACACGAGTACACAAAACAAGACTGATGTAATTAGCTGGAGTCGTCTTTCTTCAACATTCTGCAACCAACCCTTGGCCTCATCAAGTTGGCTGTCGTACTCTTCTATCGACGTCTCTTCGTCGTCCAGAAGCGCTTCGGGGACGCTCGAAACCTGGTCATCTCAGGAATGGCAACCCTTGTCGTTCTATGGACGCTTGGATATACATTTGCCAAGCTCTTCCAATGCGGCAGTCACTCGTTTGAACGCAGGCCGTTCTACGACTTCGACTATTCCACAGCAGTTTGTGTGGACACGCTCATGCTGGGATACTCCTTTGCCATCACAGATTTCCTCATGGATTGTTTGATCGCTCTAATCCCGATTCCTTTGGTAAGCAGCAAAAAGAGGGCCCTTGCGAAAACATGAGTGCTGATCCGCGATAGATCTGGAAGCTTCATCTACCAATCGGCCAGCGCCTAGCGGTCATGGCTATATTTGCAGTAGGATCAATGTAAGCGCTCGCCCATACAATTGATTGTTAAAGGCTTACCTGGATAATTTAGATCAATTGCTGCGTCTGGAGTACGACTGGCCGTATCTGTCTGGATCCAACATGTCGGCGTTGACCCAGAATTCGACGAAGAGCTTAATCTTACAGCCGAACTTTTCTGGGGTCTCATTGAACTCACCACCGCTCTCCTCGCTTGCTGTCTTCCTACACTTCGTGCGCTTGTCAAGGTACCATTCGTCAGCAGTACTATACGCAGTCTGCAGAGCTTCCTTTCTATTGGCAGCAAGTCTCAGACGTCATCAATGGACGCGCCGAAGTCGCCGTCGTTGCTCCAGTTCGATTCCGCAGTTTCAGAGAAGGGCAGTGGCTACATCGTCAAGCAATCGGGTGTTACAGTGCACTCCAGCAGAGCAGACTCTGTGTAGGTACTCGGTAGCGCACGCAGGACGTTCGAGATTGCAACATTGCGGACAGACGGTTGAAGTGTTATTGATTTGCATTACCATTCGGAGTAGCATGATACCTGATAGATCTCTTCATCATTCTCGCATATACACTATAGAAATCTTACTGAAAACGAAGCTCAATACAACGTCTCAGTGCAAGTACTTTAGGTTGTGCCGGCGTCTCGTTGGTTTTCACAGTTGATATCGTCTTCACAAATGTCCTTATACGTTGGTATTCTACCTTTGTTTTTACTGTGGGCCTGATTTTTCATCCCGTGAAATGCGATCAAGTTGCATGTTTTAACGCTGAGTGTGGCGAAAATAGCCAGCATTGCCTGTCCCAGTCAGTTGAAGCTCCTGGCGAAGGTTCAAGATACCTGATCGGTCAGAGGTGGGCCTGCGAGGTCAGTCTAACTATGGTATGGTCAGTGAGTGCTCCATACGATGCCAATTTTTTATTATTATACCTCGACAAGCGCGAGCCAGAGCAGTTAAGAGATGCTTTAATGGGATTGATCAAAATGTCCATGAGTAAACTCAAAGTTGGGAGGACACTCTGTACAACGAAAGCATCTTTCCGGTGGACCGACAACGATTTGATGCGTCTGCTTGACACCTTGACTACTCGAAAGGTCCTAGCTACCTTAAATCCTGCGAAACTGATTGCATGTTCGACTTCTCCCGACTCAGTTAGGCAGGCCTCAGCTGCACCAAAAGATCTACCACTGATCCCGGCGTGCATGGGCAGAGCAAAAACGGTATGGGGCGGGGTGAAGATAGTGTAGACACCCAGGACGCACTCATCTTTAGTTCAATCCGAGTGGGACCGCACCCTGGATGAAATGTGATTCGATGTACCTCACCAATATCAAAGCGATGATGAGTGACCTGGAAGAAGTCGTCATCCCTTTAGAGTACCTGAGCGAAGAATAGCGTCTGCGGTATACATTCTGAAAGAGTCTGAGTTTCCAGAAACTGACGCCCGAGTGGAAAATCTGGATGGGCGTGGAAGAACAAGACGAGGTGCTGCTGTCCGGACCAGGAAGGCTCGGTAAGGGCTGGGTATGGGACGACAATGAGGCTGATGAATCGGAAGAGAAGACCGAGCGGTACCGACGGGACCCGAAAGCGAAGAAGAATATTGGGAGTATGAAGAGGAAGAAATCGAAGATGAAGATCTTGCGGAAGAGGTGGCGTGGCTAACTGTGGTTCATCAAAAGTTCGAATAGCTCGGTCGCATCGCTGCACATGGTGAGGATCTCTCATGAGTTTTCTGCCCATATAATTTGGCGTTGGGACTGATCTCGTCTTACGCCGTCTCGACGATGATTGAGCGTTGAGTACCTTCCCACTGTAATGCAGACCGGGAGTACCGCACTGGCAAATTGATCAACGGACCGTACCTCCGAATATTCCATGCTTCCTTTCCGGCCAAAGCTGGCATCAGGATGACTATTTTGCCACTTTCGCTCTTGCCCTGTCCTCATCGCTTTCGTATTCAGGCAGTGCTTCGCCCCTCTCTGCCATGTTGGCGATCGGCCTCCCGCCAAGTTCACCCTTGGTCTCCATCGCCATCGTCGACTCCGTGCCCTCCCCACGCCGTTCAACAGGGATCAGTGCATCATAATATCTCGGAATTGCATACCCAAGGATGATAGCTAGCATTGTGAGATGCGCAATGATCTGTGTACGCAGGTATGAAGTTAGCCAAATCAGGACATTCGAAAAGTTTCACCCTAACGGTCATGGCTAGAGTAAAGTGGCTCCGTACTGTGGTGTTACTTACAAATCCAGTTATCATCATAGGGTCATACCTCAGAGTATGAAACTCAGGGTAAGCAAATGAGAAGATTATTGCGAGGACTGGGCCGCTAATGTAGCGAAGGAGGATAGGCAGGAACGAAGGAATCTTCCAATTCTTCCCAACTCCAACGATAAGATTGAGGTCCCGGCGGATCTGATTGCCCTGTAGTGTTGTAAGCGATTGGGTCTCGGCATGTGAATATGTTAGCTCACAGAGTAAAATGCGAGGTACCAGAACTTTCTGACAGCAGCGTTCAAGTTCCAGATATCCCATCTGGTAAACCGAGGAGCCGCAACATCTGGCCGACGTGCAACGGTGACTGCAATAATTGCACAAAGAACATACAGACCAACTCCCGCACACGCCCCAGCTCCAGGGCTTTTAACGCCGTGCGCTAAAATTATACCAAAAACTTGACCTCCGAAGAAGCCGAAGTTGTAGATGGCAAATGCAGGGAGGCCAGTTTGCTCAACGACATCAGACCATCGGTATACCGTGGTCGAGCTGGACACCTCGGTCCAGACCACGAAGATGAGAGCAACGTTGTTGACCCAGCGATCCACTCCATCCAGTAGGTAGTAGCCAAACTCAGTGCAGTACTACAATTGCTGTCAGATGATGTTGGTAGCACTCTATGTAGTAAACTTACCGGAATGCACATGAGAAATGATAGCACAGTAAGTATGGTGACTACCCAGGGCCGTGAAAGCTTGGTCATGCCAGAGTCACAGATCAATGTGACGACCACGTCCAGCATGACAAACGCAGAGCTGAATCCCAGAACTATGAGAGTGAAAAACAACAAGACTGCCCAGAAATTGGCGCCTGGCATCTGGAGCACGGCTTCAGGTAGGGTTAGGAACCCTACGACAAACGCACCGAGCCTAGACCATCACTCAGCATACTCAACTTCAGCCACGCCCCTAGAGCAATGTACGTACCGAACGCCGTCTTCCGGCCACCGTCGCAGATAGCCGACAACTCCGAAGACTGAAAATGCTGCAAAATTTTCAAATAGCACGTTGCTGCCACATATGAGGATCGCATCCATCACTGCGTTAGCGTGCTTTTGGTTATAGCTGGCGTAGCTGGTGAAATAGCCAAAACCAATCCCAGTCGAGAAAAACACCTAATCAGATTAGTGACAAGTACTAACATGCTGTGTACGCTGCTCGAAAAATTGACACTTACCTGTCCGACAGCGGTCTGCCATACAGTCCCGGTAGCCAATTGATCGACTCGAAAATTCGTCCAAAGGAGGGCGACGCCTTCACCGGCATTCTCAAGCGATAGTGCTCTGCCAACAAAGATGATTGTGGTGACGATAGGTAGGCCCATTGTGAAGTACACAACACGGCCAGTCATGCCAACTCCGCGGAAGATGGAAAGCCAAATGAGGAACCAAACAAACACGGACCATCCCAGAGTCTCCCCGACGATCTTTACGTGCGGAAAGCTTGTATAAGATACGACTAAGTCACCGCTAGCGCTCAGGCTGCCTTCCGTTATATTACCGACTGAAAGGACGTCTGTCCAATAGAACTATCGTTCCATTAGCCACGACATATAATGTCTATACACTGGGTGTCAAAGTACTTCTTCGAGTCGACCTGCCCAGGGTAGTGGGCTTGTGAAGCTGTGACGGAAATAGCTCATGATCCAGGCTAGGTTGACCGTGAAGTACTGCACCACAACAAAGCTGACAAGGACAGGCCCAAGGCCTACTCCTTTCAAGTGGCGATTAATGTTGTTGAACGCGATGACAGTACCGCCACGATAGGCTTGTCCAATCGATACCTCCAAAATCAGGGATGGTATTGCGATCTGGTTAATGTTTAGTCAACTTGTCGAGTTCAAATAATTTGAGTAATTGTACCAAAAATACAGCCAATAAATAAGGTATGAACCACTGAAGATATTAGCTCGACCCTGGGGCAATGGTGACCGGACCGCTTGCCTGGAGACCGTAATTGTTGTACACTACTGATGGATACCGTAATAGGTTACCCTGACCTGCGCAGCCACCCATAGCAGCCAAAAGAAAGGCGGCTCTAGAAGGCCATTGATCGCGGCCATCGTCTGAGGTCGGCGGGGGTGGAGCAAGTACAGCGCCCACTTTTTTTAGGTGTCGGAACACCATTTCGTAACAGGCCACCGGTGGTGGAAAGTTGAGAATACAGAAGGACCTTTGAGCGGGCGTTAGGCCTGCCGATGGCTGCTTGTTGTCCAGTTTTGTATCTCGAAGAAGATCAGCCACTGGGATCTTGCCTGTTGCCAAGCACTCGGACTCCTACGGCCGCACGAACGCATTTCTTTTGCGGTCGTTTGATTTTGGATCTTGGCTCCTGTTTGCCCTAGAATTGGAGGGAACGCGACTTGTGGCTTCGACGGCTTTCAGATAACGCTGTACCATTGGAACGGTAAGCCTAGCTTCTTCGCGTCACCACATTATCTCTATGGATGTCACTTTGCACCTCTTGGAAGAGGCTTGACCTTGCCCAGATGTCGTGATGGCATGGCGAAGGTCGGAACTCAAGTCGTTCACGCCAAGGTCCGCCCCGTAACACACGACCAGAGCTCCTGGCGTACGTCAAAAGATGGAGCGAGCGTGTTGCCTGCGAATCATTGTTGATCTTGGCTTTCCGGACCCATGTGGAGCACGCGCTCTTAGTCGCTCAACCAGCCGCTTTTCCGACTTGACGAAGCTGGGTATATCTTGGCCTCCCGCCGCAGGTTTCTCACGCGCTTATGGCGTACTTCCGCCGCGCCAGCATACCTTTTTTCGTTCCTGGAGCATGGTGTCGTAGAGGTCGTGTGATGACGTTGCAGACAGTGCGGCGAGGTTCTGAAACTAGGTCTTGCTCAGGCTAGCTGCTTCTGGCCTAGGGTACATGCACCGTCAACAACTTTCCACCCTCGAACAGTAGAAGATATTGAATCGTTCGGCTCGCTTGAAATTTTTCGACTCGTGCATGAAGCTTTCTGATATACATATTCCATAGGTATTGGGTAGCCTAACGGTCGTGTGCGAAGCCCCGCCCAATGATTTTACGTTGACATCATGAAGGCTACTTGTAGTGTATACATAGCCACAATCTCCAATGGCCGCAATTCACACACTCTCCATTGAAACAATATCCTCCATGCTAGATTCTTAACATTTAAACGCTTCTCCACCTCTCAAGACCAGCAAATACACAGTTCCCAGCAATGCCTCATCAAGTAGCACCACCGCCATCTGGTGAATTCCAGGTCGTCCTCTCCAAGACTTTCTCGGGTAGGATAAATACTTCAGATCATGGCAAACACAAACTAAGGAAGTTGTAACAGGCACAACTACCCATCAGATCGAAGTCATCGGCGAGCACAACCGAAGCGCAATCATCCAACGTACCGAGCACAGCGGCAGTGGAAGCTCATCAGAGAAGACAGGCGATGTTCCTGCGTAACTCTCCAGCTGCTCGATCTGTCGATCGGGTAGACCTACGGGTTGTTGGCTCCCTCTTGCTCTCGCATACTGACAGCCGCTCTGCAGCGACGATGTCCAAGAGCTCTTGTCTCTTGTTAGCCAGCTACGAGGCTTGCCGTCGCACGCTTCAAAAGACATTTTCGGTCTGGATACAAAGGTGGACTTCAATACATTTGAGCTTCAGTGGAGTAACGGAGATGAAGATTCGGCGGCAGGTGCTGTTAATGAGCTTGCGAGCGAGCAGAAAGATGACTTCAAGCGAATTGTGGAAAGCATTGATGCGTTGGCAAGGACATTCGCTGAGCAGGATTCAGCGGTGTAAGCCGTCTGGGGAAATATCAAGTCGGAACTGTCACGTAGTACTGTAGCTACTTTTTCCACGCCGTCATCATTCAAGACTTGACTCATAGTACGGCGAGAGAATGATTCTGTTGTCTTGTCGGGGACGCTACGTCTTGATCGTTTTCATTACTATTGGTCAGCTATGGGTCCACCTATGAGTCGTTTTTGATTGAGACTGTTGGTCACAGCTTCTCGAACATGATTATTTCACAGCTGTGCGAAATTCCGGACTGCTCTTCTGTTTCAGTGCGTCGCAAATACCTCTCTTGTGGGATTCTCTCGGTCGCGGAAAAATTGATATACCGCTATATTACTTGAGGGAAGTAGCAGAAGATTAGGACTCACAGAAACAGCCTGAACTCAACGATTCGTTATGAGCGGGGAGGTCAGTGAGCCATGTAAATTTGCGAGACTGCTTTATCTCGAATGTCATCACGAGTGAAGTTTGTGCTATCGACAATGTGTGAGGACTTTCGTCTTTGGTTCGGAGTACCAATAAAGGACTTGCATTGGTTTTCAACACGATATAACGTCCCCCTCTGTGTGACGGAAAACCCCCGGTGCAGACATGGGAAATTTACAACAACAATTCATCATTCACCCTACAGTCTCTCAAAACTATGTTCAAACCATGAGCATAGTCCATAGGTTTATCCCTAGTTATCGACTTGGAACCTAAAAATACAACACCATGATCGTGCGATTGATTATTACCTGTATCCGTCTATAGCAGCATTGATTTCTCACCCCTGCTATTCTGCGATAGGAGCTATATTAATCCCTTTCGGAGTCTTTTAGCTGTTGTAGCATCATCACGGAATGCTCTCAAGATATCTTATGCTTTCCGAACTGTAGTAATATGAGTCCTAAAAGTTTCTCCGTGAGAGGAAGCCTTATGGCTTCTTAGCGCGGAATCTACATCAAGCTTACTCAGTATTCTATGGGAACAAAAACACTAGCCACCGGTCACGGGACTAGATGACACAAGCCACACCAGCAGGGCAAGCCAAGTCCGCCGCTGGTTCACCTAACAACTTAGCCATCTTGCACTTCCGTTGTTTTACTCCTGTACAGGATAGTCCGCATCGGGGTTCGATGCTGCAGCAAAGGCTCCCAATGACGTGGACGCGACATGAGCGTCGCCTCACTGGTCAGCCTGCGCCACGATGCGGACTGGTGGGCAGCGCATACAACCACTACTGTGCCGCCTGATCACCTTTCATCCTTCGACGCCTTCTTCCATCTTGTCGACTTCCGAACACCTTGCGCCAATATAACCAACGAATCGAACGAATCGGACGAACCGGACGAGACACGTATCGCGCGTGCCATGAGATCGCGCCCGATGCGTTGCTATGGCTTTCTTACGCCTCTTGGAGCGTAAACCGGACGGAGCCATCGTCTTCCGCGAAACGACCAGCAGCGATGTTCCTGCGTACGCAATACTCTCGCATACTTGGGGAAAGGGGGAGGTCAACTTCCAAGATATGGAGGACAGCGTAGACATGGGCAAGACTGTTAGCAAGGCTGGGTGGAACAAGATACAGTTCTGTGCAAAGCAGGCCGCAGCTGATGGACTGCAGTACTTCTGGATAGACACTTGCTGCATTGACAAGAAGAATGCGGTCGAACTTGGCGCGGCGATTAACTCTATGTTTCGGTGGTATCAGAACGCCGCGCGCTGCTATGTCTATCTGTCCGATGTCTCCAAACCCGACGGAGTAAACGGCGAAGGGTCCTGGAAAGAGGCTCTCAGGACAAGTCGTTGGTTCACTCGAGGCTGGACGCTTCAAGAGCTCGTTGCACCAAGGCTGGTTGACTTCTTTAGCTCAGAGGGTGAACGACTTGGTAGTAAACTGTTCCTCGAGTCAGAGATACAGAATATCACTGGTATCGCAAAGAATGCTCTTCGAGGTAGTGCACTGTCGAGTTTCAATATCAAAGAGCGCAGATCCTGGGCAGAGTGCCGTAATACTACGATTGAAGAGGATGAAGCTTACTGTTTGATTGGCGTCTTCGAAGTCTCTATGTTGCCCAATTACGGAGAGGGAAAGGCCCATGCATTCCGACGCCTGGAGGAAGAGATCCACAAGCTGTATAAGGGTAGAGGTCTCCCTAGATGGGCTACTTGATGCAATAGACTAATTAGCACAGGTGTCGATTTCGACCAATATGCCGTCGCGCTGAACCTCGCTTCGATCCCTGAAGCTGCGCAATTTGTGGCCAGAGAGGAGGAGCTGTCTCAAATGCATGAGCAGCTTTATGGTCATGGTCATACTAGCCGAGCAGCGGTAGTTCTGCACGGACTCGGAGGGATTGGAAAAACCCAGCTAGCGATCAAATACATCAGAAAGCATAAAGAGAAATACACAGCAATATTCTGGCTAAATGCAAACGATGAAGACTCTCTCCGGCTTAGCTTTTGCGATATCGCTCGACAAATTCTCACACGTCACCCTTTGACTGAGGTGCTCTGTAACGTCGACTTGGAAGGAGACCTCAACCGCGTGGTTAGTGCAGTCAAGGCCTGGCTCAATCTCCAGGACAATACACGTTGGCTGATGGTTTATGACAACTACGACAACCCCCGAACCGCTAGCTATTCCGACCGCTCAACAGTGGATGTGCGTCATTATCTACCAGAGAGCGACCAGGGCTCAGTGATCATCACGACGCGGTTAGCTAGTGTTACGCAGGGGCGGCGTATTCATGTTCAAAAGTTGACAGGTCTTGAGGACGGGCTCAAGATCTTATCGAACATGTCTGGAAGAGGAGACATCGAAGACGGTATGTTAACTAGGTAACATATGGATTTAATAGAGCTGAGAAGGCAGATCTCGATGCAAAAGCGCTTGTTATGAAGCTAGACGGCCTACCACTTGCTCTCTCCACAGCTGGGGCTTACTTAGAGCACGTGACGATTAGCTTCGCGGAATATCTTCGGTTATACGAGGCATCCTGGTTAAAGCTCCAGAGGACGAGCCCACAGTTAGATTCGTACCAAGACCGCTCGCTATACACAACATGGCAGGTCACCTTTGATCGAGTACAAAAACAGAATGCGGCATCAGCCCAATTGCTTAAGCTGTGGGCATATCTTGATAAGCAAGACGTGTGGTTTGGACTTCTTCGACACGCATACTCTGCAGACGACGAGTGGATACAGAAGCTTACCGAGGACGAATTGAGCTTTACTGAGGCGGTTCGACTGCTATGCGAATACGGTCTGGTTCATCCAGAGCCTTCACTTGGACAATTGTCTGGGTCGGCGGGGTATGGTGTGCATAGCTGTGTACACTCATGGACAATATCTGTATTGAATGATGGGTGGGACGATGATCTCGCAAGGTTAGCTCTGGTTTGTGTGGCATCTGAAGTTCCTAGCACGGATATAGATCAGTGGTGGCTCCTTCAGCAGCGGCTCCTTCAACATGCTGCACAACATGAACATTCCATTACGAACGGCACAATAGATATTGTGGGAATGGAGTGGGCACTATACAACCTAGGCTTGCTCTACGCCGACCAAGGCAAGCTAGCAGAGGCAGAAGCTATGTACAT